ACTGTGGTAAACATTTGGACTCTCCCTCTCATAGATTATAACTAATGTCCTGCGACCTAACCTGGCAATTAATGACATCTCAACATATCAAAATATTTTGTTTATGTTTTTGAAACTGCTAAATGAATTATAAAATAAAAGGCGAACATGTATTATCATAATTAAAAAAAAACATTCATATATGTCTCCGTAATTATGATGTTTGGTACCAATAATGCGTGCCATTCCAGCAACATCAGCAGCAAAACAAACGTGTACTTATTTAGCGAAATAGATTGAATTTGAGAAGCAGAAAGACAAACAAAACAGTATGCTTTTTCATATAAAATACAAGTTTGAAAACCGTATTGTAATTGTGAAAGTATTTGTCGGATGTCGATTAGTTCCGGTTGCGAAAAATTGCACCCGGGTAGGACATTAATCGTAACAGAAACCTTAGCAATATACTACCTCGCTCCGTCCGCGTCCTAATAAAGTCTTGTTATATTATATGAACCAGTTCCGCATTGCATTTTTCAATGATAAAAAGGATGGTGAAGAAATCTATCTCAAATACCCGTAGAATAAAGCAATTCCCCTGTGATTATCAATAGCAGCTATATCATGTTTCACTCTTTTTATTTTACTAAACTTTGTTTTTATATTATAGCAACAGAAAATCATGTTCGACCTGATTCATTGAATATTACAAACGACGTGAGTATATTTTATTGAATAAAATTTGTTTTTGTTTTGTTTTTTTCATAAATATTATTAGTCAACATTAAAAACAAGTGGAAATATTTCACGTATAAATTCAATAGTAAATGATGAAGAAAATGGAACAGATTCAAGTTCATCTAGTCGACGTCAATCAAAAATAAATCATCATCATATACGTACATCAAATCAATGGAGTGATGATAAATTAAAAATTCGACGATTATCAAATGTATCAACAGCTAAAAGTTCTTTTTCTGCTGGACATAGGTATATTGAAAATGGATTCTTCATTGAAAACAAACAACTAATTATAGAATAAATTCAAACAAAAGATTTCAACTTAAAAATCTTAAAATCTTTTTCCGAATTTTCAAGATCGGTTTAGTTTTCTGACAAAAAATTCTTTAATTGAAAACCGTGACAATAAATGAAATGCAATAGAAGATTTCTTGAAAATTTTTTACATAATAGAAAACCCAAGATGTTCTATTAGAAGAAGATATTTACTATTTTGTTTTTGTAGTAAACAAGAAAAGCTAATTTTCTCGGTAAAAATTTGTCTGGTATAAGTTGTCCGCTTTTGATAAGCGATATGAATTTCGATAACTCTTTAATTCTAGAGGAAAAGAGTAATTATAAATTTTATTCTTCGAGATATCTTTAGATTGATATTAATATGATTATATCAAGTAAGTATCATAAATGAATTCATTTCGAAACAAATAACGAATAAAAAAAAAAAAAAAGTATGCTTATGACTACAGTTATATGTATGACCTAAAAAAATCGATCAATTATTTCGTGTCTGAATACATATCTATATATCATTTATTGATATAGATTTCGTAATGGATCAATTCTTCAAGTATCTGACAATAATTCATCGGCTGCATGTGATAAACAATATTTATTTGAAGTTCTTATTGGTAGTTCACGTAGTCATTTATGGGATCAAATGCAAGTATGGGAAGATGTTTTTCTTGATGCTGTTGCACAAGAACGTGATATTATTGGTCTTGATCAAGGTCCAGCTGAAATGATGGAACGGTAAAATTTTCTTCAAAAAAAAATTCTATTTGAAAATTTCAATTTTTTTTTTTTTTAGTTATTATTCATTATCAAATGCTGATCGTAAACGTTTAGAATTAGATGAAGATCGTTTATTAGCAGTTATGCTTTATAATTTAATTGCATTTATGATCATGATGCGTGTTAGTAAAGAAGAAATTCGTCGAAAAATTCGTCGAATACTTGGTCGTTGTCATATTGGTTTAACAATGAGTCAACAAGTCAATGAATTACTTGATAATATTTCAAATTTAGTAAATATTTAACTAAAAAAAGAAAACCAAATATCAAATTATTACTTTTAATTAAATATATGTACATTCTTTCTTTCTTTTTCTTAGAATGGTAATGATATTGATTTACGTCCAGCAGGTAGTCGTTTATTACAAAAACAAAGTTTTACTGTACATTGGGGAACAGATAATACTGGAGATATGCTTTTTATGGAGGTTAGAAAACTATTTAATTTATTTGTTTATTTAGTAATTAAATTTCTATAAGGTTTGGGATGATTGTATTATACTTCGAAGTGTACTTGGTGAAGTTTATGATCGTTGTTGGTTTGAAAAATTAGTTAATATGACATTTTGTCCAAAGACAAAAGTACTTTGTTTATGGCGTAAAGCTGACGGTGAAACACAACTTAATAAATTTTATACTAAACGAGTATAGAAACAAAAAAAGAAACGTTTTCGAATGAAAAAAAAAATTATATTAAATTTTTTTTTTAGTGTCGTGATTTATATTTTTCAATAAAAGAAGCTATGGAAAAAGCAGCATCACGAATGAAAGGTTCATTACCTGGTAAAGAAATTCTTGGTGTTTAAAAAAAAAAAACAACAATAACTTCTGTTTTTTTTTTTCCGTTAAGGTCAAGAATTAGGTGGTGAATTTCCAATAAGAGATGTTAATACAGGTGAAGGAGGAATTTTACAAGTGTGTCTCGAAGGCATTTGTTTAATATTTGAAAATGATAAAGTGAATATTAAAATAGAAAAATAAAGTCTTTTCATTAGTTGTTAATTATTTTTATGTCTATGTAGGAATTTATTGAATTACAAAAAATTCGAAAATGTACAACACAAAAAGGAGATATATTTGTACTTGAAGAATTTGGTATTAAAGAGAAAAAAAAACCGACCTTTTCCTTTCTTTTATTTTATTTTTTTTTTCTTTCATTGTATTAGATCCAAATACAAAACAAATACTTATTAGAAAATATAAGTCTTCAACGGTAAGATTTATTTGTTCGTGTATATTAGCTGTAATATTCTTAACTGTTGTTTTATTTCAATATTGTCTTGTGCTATATGTCCAGGCGAGTAGCGCCCTGCTTGCTTTTCATCGTGTTGTATCTATTATGGTTGAACGTCGAAAGCTCATTTCTGCTAACACTGTATCCAATGTTAATAATCATCATACACAGCAGGCTATCGATGGATTAGGTATTGTTGGTATTTAATAATCAATAGAAATAGATTTATGTTTTATAATGTATTGGGACCTTTTTTCTTAATTTCGAAAGCTTATCTTAATATTTACATTATAGGGATAAAATCAAAAATAGAAATTAAAAAGGGTGCAGCTCTAATAAGTTTTATTTCTATGCTTCAAAATCACGCAAGCACTAATCGTCTTCTTAACCGTTTGTATTGCTACAGTCTAACGATTTTTTTCATTCCAGCTAAAAATGTCATTATTGTTACTAACCACTCACTATAAAATAGATTTTCAGTATTTGTTGTTCTAAGTTACTCAAAATAATCGTGGTTTTTCAAATTTGTTTGAATAATAATTATTTCTAATTTTAATGTTACTCTGATATAAAATATGTTAATCTAATTTTAGGCTGATCGTATTTGTTATGCCATATTATGTGTATTTTCATATTTGGCAGCTGGACATGATCAACAGCAATAATAATAATAATAATAATTATACAAGAAATTTAATATGATTATGTTAACAAATAGATCCTAATGTCGTTGATCTTAATATTTATTTCTTAATTGAATTTCAACATTTTTCTTTCCCAATTTTATTTTCTAATTATTACAATGCTATTGTCTTCCTTGTGTCAACATTTTTATTTTGTTCTAGTCATATTTGGTTAAACACTTCATTTGTTATTATCAACAATACAGTACAACAGATTGAAGATGAATTATATAATGTGTTCGTATATGTGTGTGTGTGTATGTATTTGTCCTTCCGTTTTGCTTTCATTTCCTTCTCATCCTCCCAATAGCAAATACGTTTTATGTAAAAAAGACAAAAAAAAAAAGCAGAAGAAGTTTTATTTGTTGTTTATTCATTCAAATTTTGTTTGTCATTTTGTTTTATGTTAATTTCATCTGATGTGTACAGTGTTCTTTTATTTCACTTTTACCGATTCCCAAAAAATATATTCCTGTCTACATATGCAATATAATATGCCTTCATTGATTTATCAAAACATTTATAATTGAATGAAATCAGTATGAAATAAGAAAGAAATTACTTGTTTGAAAGTTGTGTTTAATTGAAAATACAATGGCAAATATATATATGTTTTTTTTTATGGATATTTAATGAGAGAAATATATGTACTGAAAATAAATTTTCAATAGGATGGTTATTCATTGATATTTTCGTGTGTTTATATATACGCCTTTCTCGTTCTTGCATAGAATATTATATGCAAATCAAAATAATATATAAGGAGTTTCTATTTTCTATTATCCATGGTTGATGTTAAATTATGAAATTTGTCACTCTTAGCAAACGCCTCCATATCATTTACAATTCTAGCTAATTGAAATGATTGATCAAGTGAACATACTTTAAGTAATTTGTCAACTTGTTTCGTAAGTAATTTTTCTATAAAAGATGTGTTCGAGTATAGTTAGAATAAATGATAGATCATTTCATGAGTAAAATAGTTTGTTGTTTTTTTCAATAAAAATTTTTTCAAGAAGAGAACTGTATGAATGAAGTTGTGTGTATTTTTTATGGTTGAAATGTGGACGAAAATTCGTTGAGATGACGACGACATCAATAAAAAAAAAACTTGTAGTCATTTTCTTTCGTTTTTTATATGTGTAGTAGAATAGCAAAAATATTTTGTCATGAAACTTACAAATTGATCTTTCCTTTCATCACCTACTAACTTTACATTCTTATATATACATAGACATACGTTGCACTTGACTATTTGACACCATCGTTCGTATTTTTTTTTATCAGTTGTAATGCAAGCATTAATATTCTCAATAGTTTTGGTATGCGTTATTCTTTCATGTGGTAAGATCAAGACATTTACATATGATATTTTTTTCTATTAGAATCTTTTCTTTTGTCTAGTACCAGCAAGATCAGTAGAAAATACTGAACCTATTTCGAAAGTATCAAGAAAAGATACTATTGGTGAATCATTAAATTATGCAAATTTGTTAAAATTTTTGAAAAATCGAGAAACAAAACTTTATGAAAATAATGATGACGACAGCAGTAGCGATCAAAGTAATGATGACGACAACTCTAGTGACCAAAGCATTGATGACATGCCACGTAAAAGAGAACAATTAAGGTCAGCAAATCGACGATTCCTTATTTTTACTAATCAACATGCAAGTCGTCGAGCTCGACCATTTTATAATTATGGACGAAAATCTCATTGGGATACATTTTTTGGATAAAAATAAACAATTCTATTATATAATGCATTTTTTATTCCAGTTCGCATCTAGTCATGCAAACAATATATTGGACATGGACTAATTTTATTCAAATTTATCATTACACAAGGATTTCATTATCATCATTATTTTTAATTTCTTTTTTTCTTTTTAAATATTTGCGTTTGAAAAGAAAAGTAAAAACGTTAAGAAGGTTGTTAATAACAATGATCAACAATTTCAATGGTTGCATATCAGAGCTTGATACAAGAGAGAATAATTCGGTCCTATCTGGCCATAGAACAAGCGAGCATGAAATAAATTGTTCTTGTCCTGTCGTACTCTTTTATCGTGCAAAGCAGTATAGAGTTGGACACCCAGGATAAGCATTACGACAGGCATCAATAGGCGTGGTAAAAACGAGGAAATAGGAAATAGGAAGTATGAACAACCTTGAATGGTTGCGTACGACACAGAATGCTGTCTTATTTGCTTATTCTACTTCTCAATCAAGGCGGAAGGACTTTCTTCCACACTCTAAAGATGAAATCTGTCTTCTTTCTTGGAAAAAAATACTTCATGTTTAATGTCGTACTCGAATTTGTCTACAAAAAAAAAGAAGAAGAATATAATATAAAATAAATGATTTGAGCATCCTTTTCCATTTTTTTCTACAAGAAATGACAATTATATTTTAAAAATGAATACTGTCTGTTTAATCTGTTGTTCCATTCAATCTAAATAAGAAAAATAAACTCTTTTAGTAAACAAAAAAAATACCTACTAGTCTATTTGTTGGTAAATTCAAAAGGAAAAAAATCCTCTAGCATGATTATCATTTGCCTTCATCGTATACGGTGGTCGTTGCGATGGCCACTTATCTTTTGCTGCGTTATGTAGTATACGACCGTTTACAATCGTGCTTTTTAGATCCGGGCAGAATTCTAATGTCCTGCAAAGTGAAACATAAAATGTTTACCTTGAAAAAAAGGAGTATTTTCGAGTCTTGACACACAAAACAGTTTTGATGCTTTCTTAATACGCTGTTGTCTTTTGTTTCATGGATATAATTCACCTTTTGTTATTTGATTATTACTATTCAAAGTGAATAAAGCATATAGAACTGCTAATAAATTTTGTATGTACTACAGACTATTTCGATTGGAGGTGGGACTATATGATATATATTTCTAAATGATCAATATTACATAAAAAAATGACTAAATCAATGAATGCTTAATTATCAGATAGAAAGCATAATAATATATCGCTTATATCATCCATATGAGCGAGTTTTGCCTTTAATGTAACAACGTACTTTGGTAAAATTTAAGAGACTCTTTTGTACAGAACTTGATTTCTTTTAAGAATATAAAGTAGCTCAAATACTTTTTAATCTATTTGTGTCCGTTACATAGAAATACAATTAATGATAAGAACATTGTGTTAGATGAACATTATATATTGGACGTTTTCAACATTGACAATAACATTAATATTAATAATAAAATATCTGACTTTCTTGATCAAAAACAACTGTAGTCACTTTTTGGCGTATCCGATTCACAGAGCTTTCGTATTTATCTATTACTAGTCTTATTCAGTGACGCACTTAGAGGAGAATGCTGGAGATGATCACTCCCATTTCAAATTTTTTTGTTTCAGTTTTTTCCAGTAGAAGGCTGAAAAATGAGCTGATAGCTATCTTCAATACGCTTCAAAACACGTTTTATAATTATAATCATTGTCCATCTTCATCGAATCGTCTCACATAAAAGAAATCCTAGATCGGGCACTAATCTTACTAATGACCTCTAATCAATAGCTTATGATTGTTCCTTTTCGTTTTCTGCAATGATTTCAGATAAGAAAATAGCCACGTCCTTTTTCTATCTGTATGATGGACAAAAAAAAAGGAAAGGAATTCATTATCATTGACCGAACGATTTCTCTGTTCCTGTCTCTCTCTCTCTTTTCCCACTCCTTATTCAGGTATAAGAGTTGACCGAGACCAATGACGACATTCACGTTATTGAACTAAATTCTGAAAATTGAACATTCATTTCATCAATATTTCTTAGTATTGATTTTTTTTCAAAGTAGACAGAGAAGAAATACAAAAATTGGTTTAGCAATGCAAGATCAGATGTACACATGTATGGGAAGTACTTTGAGCATGTTCATAACGTTCGTACTTGATTGTGCTTTGAAACACACAAGAGCAAGTGATTATTTATTGCAGTACATGTTTGCAGATCCCACACGTGATCATACACTGATTATACGCTCTTAGTATTATTATTCGATCGATAGATATTAATGAGTGATAGACTATTTATCTCTTGCTATGCTTTGTGTAGATTATCAACTGTGTCTCTCTCTTATCTTTCGTACGGCAGTCGATGATTTTATTTCCCGATTTTTTATTCAGCTTGTTATTTCATTCTGTTCGACAACTGCAGAATATCATTGTCCTGTAATCATTGACAATTATAACTAATTGACTTTTGGTATGTTACTGCGATAATATTTACATGTAATATGAAATTGAAATATTTACCACCTATTTCTTTATTTGGCAACGCGTTTGTATTATTTATAAATGACTTCATCAGAATCTACCAATCTTTTCTCTTACTCTTCATCAAAAAGTTAAATTTGTTTTTCTATGGCATTTTTAGCATTTATATTATACGATGTTGTATCACTACATGTACCCATATATATCAGTTTTGCTTTCATTAGGTTAATGTCTATTATAGACATGTAAATCTGTATAAGTGCTTTTTATTTCTTTGATAGTCAAACATCTTTTTCACTATAACATGATAAGCATTACTGGTAGTAATTATTTGAGAGATAATCGATCGCTTAAGATCTAAAAACATTCACATACGAATAAAGATTTTGTACATTTGTTATGATAATATCTAGATCGTCAGAAATATACTTTTCTTTGAGCAATATGATCGAGACAACTTTCAAATTCAGAATTTTTTAAAATCTTCAATCTAGAAGAAATATTTTATTTGTGTCAAAATACATTTCTTACGTGTGTATTATAAAGAACTATTCAGATATCAGTAAACTAAATTTGTTCAGTAGCGAATTATGATTTTTTTTATTTTTTACTTTTTTCCAAGAAATGCAAGAAAAATGAATGGTTCAAAAACTCTTGTCATTACCTTTTTGAGATCGTCTATAAATAAAATAGTACATTATATATATTATCTATTGAAATTTGCTAGATCATTTATATATTGATATGTATAGATATTTACTTAGGAAAGTTAAATCAAACATGCCTGCACAGAAAAAAACAGGTATTTATATTCAATATAAGATGATAACATTAATTATAGTACATGCTAAAAAATAGCAAGAGTGATAGAATATTATCATCGAATTAGAAATTTCTTTCTCTTTCGAAAAAACTTGTGCGTAAAATGAAATCTATCTTATAAACATTCTGTTCGTTCTGAAGACTGTGACAAAGAAGACTTTCGTGCTTCTGTTTTTCTTCCAAATAGTGTCGTATATTTACATCCAAAACGTTGTGAGAATAATCCAGTAACGAAAGTAGTGGTAGACGCTATGTCATTTAATTATCCAATGGCTCCATACGGCGTTTATTGCGTATATGATATAAATAAACAGAACGATGATCTGAAAAATGAAAACAAAAGTATTTCGACTATTGAATGGAGTGACTTTGTTATCTTTGACTTTTTACTATTATTGGTTATACCAACTAAATAGTTCTTCGATCACAATAAGAATATGCATAGCATTCAAGTGCATAGTTAGCGTACAACTTGTTGATCTATGTACTGATTTTATGCTTTACTATAGTGATTTTGATGGTTTACCGACTCTACCTCTTCCAATGACTGCTGTCACTGCTTATACCATCATCGAATATTCAAATATTGACTGTGAAGATCGATTGAAATGTAGAACAAATCTTCATTTTGAATTTTGATACTTTCATAATGCATTGATAAAATAAAAACTTCATGATTTTATATTTTTCCGGTTTATATCAAGAAGAACGTCAATATTATCCGTTCACTCTTTAGTATAATTCACAGACTACGACCAAGCTTCAGTTGATCTTTCCCAGATCAATGATTCCAGCTCCTAAATCCATTGTTATTTTTGTGGAAACTCTTCTGAAAGATGCCGTTTCCGACCGAAAAATGATAGAAACTTGAAAGCATGAATCCAATTATCGAATCGGATAATCAGTTACGATCAGTTCTCATTGAGACTGTGAAACTACGTTTACCAAATATAGTCACTGGATTTCTGCTTCCAAGTTTCTACCATTTACACGAGTTTTTCGGCCAAAACCTGTCGTATTTCATTTACTTGGGTTCTCAAATATGCTGTACAATGAACGGATGTTGGACAAGATGATAATATCATTTTTATTGAAAAACTCGATATACAATCAATTGCCAATATTTTGAATATTTAAAATATTTAATATGCGAAATACGGAAACATCTTTATTCAGAAGATAAACTTGTGACGAAGTGACTGCAATTGATGAAACCAAAACTTTCTGATCGTCCTTATCAAATATTAGCACTGAACAATATTTCTTGTATCAAATATGAAATCTATTTTTAACAGCAGCTCAAGATAAGTAATTGACAATGTATAAAGAAAGACCAACGACAATGGCAGAATTTATTTTGGATAATCCTTGACATTGTGCAATTGCCTTCTTGCACTATTCAATAGTGACTATATATATAACATAATCATCGAATGCTTTTTCGTTCTTCGTATAGTGTACATATAGGCTGTATAACACTAGCGAACTAATGTATTTTTACTATAAGACGACGTAATTCTAAGTTCATTCTGTTGTTTTTCTCATCTATATGAATATAGGTGAGAAACAATCTCCTTCCTCATGGGGTATTGAACTTGCGCTCAAGTGCTGCCATACTTAATGAAAATAACATAAGTGAATGAGCGACTTTAGAAGAAATATGAAATTTCTTTTTAACAGCAATTAAAGATAAATAATTGACAATGTAAGTTATAAAGAAAGACTAAACAAAATGACAGAAGTTACTTTTACATAAAAACTATAAAAGTAAATTCTGTTGAGACTAACTTTATGTTTGATAATCCTTGACATTATGCAATTACATTTTTGCACTATTCAATAGTGGCTACATATATAATATAATCATCAAATGATTTTTCGTTGTTCGTATAGTATGCATATAGGTTGTATAACACTAGCGAACTAATGTATCTTTTACTATACGATGACGTAATTCTACATTCGTTCTGTTGTTGTTTTTATCTAGATCAATATAGGTGGAAAACAACCTCCCCCCCCCCCCACCCCCATGGGGTTTCGAACGTGCGCTCAAGTGCTGCCATACTTAATGAAAATAACATAAGTGAATGAGCGACTTTGGAAGAAATAATAAATTTCTTTTTAACAGCAGCTAAAGATAAATACTTGACAATACATAAAGAAAGACTAACGAAAATGACAGAATTTACTCAATTACTTATCTTTTTCTGCTGTTAAAAATAAATTTCATATTTCTCCTAAATTCGCTCATGCCCTTATGTTATTTTCTTGTATCAAACGGCGATAACTTTGAGATATTGTCGGCAAGACACACTGACAAATTGTTTAGAAACTACATTGAAAAGCATTACAAGAAGTGTAAGGTGTGAGTGAAGAGATGCTCTAAATTCACAACCACACATCACACTCTGAACAAAGATTAAGTAATTTGTCAGCTTGTCTAATGAATATATTTCTATAAAAGATGTATTCGACTAGAGTTAGGATAGATGATATATCGTTTCATGAGCAAAATATTTTTTATTTGAAACAAAAATTCTTTGAGAAAAGAGAAATGTATGCATAAAGTTGTGTTTATTTTTTTATGGTTGAAACGTGGGCGAAAATTCGTTGACATGACGATGACATCAATAAAAAAAATCTTGTAGTCATTTTCTTTCGTTTTTTATAAGTGTAGTAGGATTAAAAAAAATATTTTGCTACGAAACCTACAAATTGATCTTTTCTTCCATCGCCTACTAGTTTTATATTCTTATATATACATAGACATACGTTGTACTTGACGATTTAGCACCATCATTCGTATTTTTTTTATCAATCATAATGCAAACGTTAATATTTTCAATAGTTTTTATATTCGTTATTCTTTTATGTGGTAAGATCAAGAAATTTACTTATGATAGTTTTTTCTATTAGACTTTTTTCTTTTGATTAGTACCAGCAAGATCAATTGAAAATACTGAACCTGTTTCGAAAGCATTAAGAAAAGATAGTGTTGAATCACCAAATTATGCAAAGATATTAAAACTTTTGAAAAATCAAGAAACAAAATTTTATGCAAATGATGGTGACGACAATAGTAGCGATCAATATGATGATGACAACAGCAGCAGCGATCAAAATGATGATGACGACAACAGTAGCGATCAAAACATTAATGGGATGTCAAGTAAAAGAGAACAATTAACATCAATAAATCGACGATTTCTTCTTTTTCCTCTTCAACGTGCCAGTCGTCGAACTCGACCATCACATGGCTATGGACAAAAATCTCATTGGGACACACTTTTTGGATAAAAATAAATAATTCTATTATATAATACATTTATTATTTCAGTTCGTATTTAGTCATGCGAACAACATATTAGGCATGAGCTAGTTTTGATTCAAATCTATCATTACACAAGAATTTCGTTGTCGTCATTCTTTTTTAATTTGTTTTTTCCTTTCTTACTTTGTAAATATTTGCATTTGACATAAGTGGAAGCTTCAAGAAACTTTTGAGTAAGAATGATCAATAATTATAATGCTTGCATATGATAACTGAGTACAGAGCAGAAGAGTCTGTATTATACCTGCCTGCAGTAGGATATATGATAGAGCTGAATGAAGTTCTAATGTACTGCAAAGTGGAATATAAAAGCTTCAAGTTGAAAAGCCCCGTTGTTTAGTCTTGGAGAGAGTGTGGAGTCGGGGTGGGGGTGGGATGGGGTGTCGGTGCGAGGTATGGCTGAAGAGAAGACTGACACCCACATCCAATTTCTCCTTAGTTTCAGCATTAATTTGAGTCGGTAGGTGTGAATATATGTATGGACAAACACAGTCGCACCCATACAACATACTCACTGCGTAGAGTTTCGATATACATGACAAGAAGACTTATGCGTTTATTTTTTTAAAGAAAATTTTCTTTGATTACAAATAGTTTTACTTTTATTTTAAGATTAATTGTGCAATGAGTTGATTAATATGTCAATGAATATTTGAAATCATGCCTACCGAAAAGAATATAACCGATAAATCATGATTAGTGATAGCGATGGGTTCGCTTGATACGTTTGTGGCTAACTGATGTGTTCAATTACTTATTCATGTTGTTCCCAAGTCACAAGTATACTGGGTAGCTACATTCATCGTCATAAGAGTCTATCAATAAGTTTGAATCTACGTCACATTGAGCGTCTCTTTCCATTCACGAAAGCCATTCATTGATCTCGTCAGTGAAATTACATCGGTCAGGATTATAAAATACGACACTTAATAAATGTTCGATTAGCTCGAATATTATTTTTTTAAATAGTGTATCAATTTCGACATCCAAACTCGTAGCGAACTTCCATTCGCACTGGAAATCCAAATATACTCTTTGAAGATTCGATAGAACAACAATTGTTGAAAGAATTTCAATCGAGCCTATAGGCCACATTTGATTAACTATAAATCTAAGCTCTGTCACATTTCGATATAGATAATTCGATCTTGAATTAATCTAAAAACAAAACTTATGTAATCTTTGAAGAAATTAAAAAATAAAATATTAAACTATTCTATGTCAAAATAGAATAAAAACAGTACAAATCATTTTTCTATAAAATCAAGAAGTCTTTTAAAAGTACTTTGCACTTAAATGAAGTAAATTTTCTGCAGCAATAGTTTGTATTGACTTTGAAACTTTAAAAGTTTTGTCTTAAACACTATGTTCGAGTGTCCTTCATCGAATCTTTTACAAGCAAAAAGTCATCACATTTCGTTAGAACTAAAAAGAAAAATTATTTTTGAGATTCTCATAGGAAAAAAACAGTACTTATTTCAAATCAATGCTTGGAAGCAAAAGTTTATAAGTATTCATTGAAGAGTAAATCATCTGCAATATTGAAGAGGTATTTTAGGTTAATTACGTTTCTTTCAAAATCAAGTTCTTCAAAAGATACTCAATCAATTTCGTTTCTCCGAAATAGTAGAGCCAATCGTACACAAATTTTGTCACAGATACCCCTCCCACCCCTGTAATATTCCATTAAAATAGTAATAAGTAAATGTGTAAATAGATTTTCAAATGAGAGATTTTATTCATATGAGGAAATTTTACAAACATTTTTCAAAGTTCTCACCTTTTTGGTTAATACACAAGCATAGCATTTTCCTTTGAGTACAACATATTTCTGAGTCTACATTGCGCTCACTATTGGGATCTACTGAACTGTAGCAAGCTTGAAATGGTTCATGACCTTGTTGTGTTTTGACCGGAGATTATCGGTAAATTTGTCTATGTAAAAACCACACTATTCAATAAAATTCTTTTTTCCAATCTTTGTTTTTATTTGAAACTCGGCTCACATTAAGATTTCAGTTAGATGAAGTGATGTAATAAATCGCAAAATTTTCCGATTGAAAGAGAATGCATCGAGCAATTTTTGAAATTCGATATAATTGAGGTCTTCATGTGAGTACAGTCCCAGATGAAAAAAATTGAAAAATACAATTTTATTGAAAAGTCCGATTTGTCATAGAAGAATTTACCACACGATTTAATGTCCGTAACAAGATCATGAACCCTTTGAAGATTATTACAATTCACTAGTTTCATACTGATGGATTACATAATGGCTCAAAATTGTTTAATCACTTGTTGTACCATCCATCGTAAGACAAAATGGTAGCAGTTTTGAATATTTTTTATAAATTGTTATGAATGGTTCTCTACTACCAGAAAGATAATTAGTTCATTTGAAGAAAACGCAAGGAAAATATTTCGGCTTTTTATCGAACAGTTATTAATGATACATACATCTTGCATATTGGAGAAACGTGAAGTATAATATGAATCATCTTTTTCAGTATTATCGAATCTAGTAAAACATTTATTCTAGTATTTGAATTCTAATACTCATACTGAGAAGTGCATAATTTTTATTGAACTTTTTCCGCGAAGCATCAGCAAGCATGAAGGATGCTTTTAACAACAATTACAGTTTTATACTATATAATGAGAATATGTCAACTTTTCTTGAGAAAAATTAATAGAATTTCAAAATGTAAAAAAACACTTACATTTTGTTGAATACTTTCAGTCATCATTTGACTTAACTCTAAGGATAATCGAGGTGCATTGACGACGGCTGTTGCATTGTCATCAACAGTGGTTAATGTACAATGCTGAAAAATATTTTTCTTGCCAAGATAATCAAATTTATCAAGGAAAATTGATATTGAATAAAGATGAAATATCTGATGATAGCCGTTGACATTACAGTCATATTTAACAAACCAATATTTGATTTCGATTCAGAATAATGTTCAAAATGGTGCAATCAGGGATTTTACGGTAGATTAAATCTGGATTATGATGTGTACTCCAAGTAAAGCAAAATTCGAACTTATTCAAAAGAGGCAATTTTGCTTGAATGAATTTCTTCCATCAAGAATCATCAAATAATAAAAGTTCATTTGAACTTGTCTTACCAATCAATTGAAGATAGTCTAGCCTAGATAAGAGTGAAAAAAGTGATTGAACATTGCATCGCTATATGATAGATGCTGTTTAACGAGAACGAGATTAAATGGCTGAACTGTGTGTTATCAGGATGTGTAACAATAGTCTCATCGAGCCAATTCCTATAAACATTTTTCAGAATTAGTGTTCTTAAATGCGGTAATGTGCCAAGAAGAAAGTAAACTGTATATCAACTGCACTTATCCAAAATTGCCATCTACTCCAATCCACATGAAATGGGCTATTGTATTGCATTGAGAATATTATCGTTTCCTTCGAATGCGAATTTGCAAAGATCATTATGCAATAGAATAGACGACAAGGATGTAATTAGGTTGCTGCTACAAAACCAATCTGATGAAATTGAGAACGTTGTAAGGGGATATTTCATGATATGTTTTTGAAATTCATCCAAATCTTCATCTTTTACATAAAAGAGAGTCAATGAACGTAGTTGAATGAATTTGTCAACACGAAAGTGGAAAAGAAACAATCGAATTTGAACAGGTGTCTCTATTTTATTCGAAAGCGTAAGTGAAATAACATTTTTATGATCAATAATATGTGCCACGAGAGGTAGATCAGATTTTGACATGCAGTGAAAGTTCAGTTGAAAGAGGTTGTAGACATTAACCATGGAATAGAGTCACTTAAACACACAGCGAATTGAAAAGAAAACTGTCTTTGCATCGAAATCATCGAAAATTTGATCAACAAGCTCCATGTGTAATATTTGAAAGCAACATTCTTTTTTTTAGTAGACATGAGTCGATGTATGTAGAATGTACAAGTGTAATGTGTTTTGTTTTCAATTATACATCACGGCTGGATATCTATTCAATAACCTATGTTTGAAATTATGAAGAAAACTAATACTAAACTTTTTCAAAGATAGTAGATTCAAAGTGGATATGATTGAAAGAACATTTATTTGATTTTGCTGATTTAATCGATTTCGTAGAAGGTTGTGTATGATTATTCACTTTTACAGCAGAAAAAAATCGTTGACTAATTCGAAAAATAAAAAGTAAAATATAATATTTTTGGTCGAAGAATTTAATAAGAAAATCTGTTTGAAGAGAATTCGTAAATACAAGAACATTGAAATGAAGAATCAATCACTTTTTTATTTCAATTTGAGAAAAGTTTAGCGTAGATAAAGAACTTGAACTGAAAATTTGACTTCGCTCAGACGACTATTACTACTCATAGTTAATGAGTGTGCATGTATCGGTGTGGTTGTCGGTATTGATATTGCACGCGTACCACTCGCACATCCAACGAATCCATGCATATGCCAAAAATATTCTATTAGTAATGTTTGATCACTATTACGTAGTAAGCGAATCAATTTTTCATCCTCTCACTTTCCTTCTTCCAAGCTTAAAAATATGTCTCATTACACAAAGATAATTTATACTAAATTATCTGCTATGTAATATGAAATATGTGACTTCCAAATTCTAGTCTCAATGAAGTTTTACCAAAACTTTTTTCTTCCTGTTTTTTTTTCTGCTCTACTTGTTGAAAAGCGCGGTAAGTTTTTTTTGCCGTTCTTTGCTCAATGTTTCTTCTATGAGCAACTAATATAATATTTTTTTTCTATTTATTCATAATTCAAAAAATCCAATTTTCTTATGTTCATACTCTGAAAAGGTGTGGATGTAGGCGTTGGCGTGGGTATGGATGTGGATACGGAGCGAATTGGTTCATACCCCACACCCACCCATACACCCTAGATCTTTCATTGTGTGGTTAATGATACGTGTAGTTTGGTGCGATTGAATTTTACGTTTATTAATGGGGTTGTCATCTATTTAGTTTGATCATGACTGCTTATTTGGAAGTAAGTTTTATTTCTTTATATGAAATTTTTGATTTTTGTTATGGGTTGATTCCAAGTTCTGATTTGGTAGCAAGTTTGTCTGATTAATGTTTGAGTTTTTGTTTGGTGCGGTTTGATTTTCAGTCGGTACTTGAATGCAAGTTTACTTCTTTCAATATATTGTATTATTTCTGTTGTAGTTCGTTATCATTTTCGGAGTTAGGAGTAAGTTTATTTCGTTCGATAAATGATTCTTTTTGTGTTTTAGATTTGAATGAAATCTTGATTATGATGTTCGTTTATTGGCCTAAATTATTGATTATTTGCTTGCTGTGGATGGGTTCGCAATCATGATGTGAAAGTAAGTTTATTGATTTTAGTTGGTAGCCTTTTTTGACGAGGGCCTATTCACAGATTTGAGATGAATAATAGTTTTCGTTTAGTGCCTAAGGAGGTGACCCTTGGAAATGATAAATCGTTTTCAAGTTGAGCCTCTGTGCATAAGGTAGTTGTCGGTGAGATAAGAAAATCCCTGAAGGATGCCTTTCATTAGCTCTTCCCTCGAAGATTATCCTTATGCTACTAGAATTTTAGTTGGATGCTAACGAGAAACCCTATGTAACTATCAATTTGATTTTGAGTTTGAGCCATGTGTGTCAGATAGATCTAAGTATGAAAAACTTCAAACGAACGAGGGCTCATGAGTCTTCTTTCAAAAGTTATAGCCACTTTCCTTCCATTTTAACCTATAGTGTCGTAGATATCAGTAAGTTGAATAGGACTATTTCTATTTAAGATTTCATGGACAGACCAGTCTATATTTGAGGAGAATGTTGCAAAATTTTTACCTCGAAAGAATGCGTTTTTCTAGGGATAATCAAGACCAACAATACCACTCGTTTTTCATGAAAGATGAAGATATGTTGTATCTTTTGTGAACTTTAGTAACTATGGAGAAACGCATTCTTCTGAGGTAAAACTTTCCGACATTCTTCTCAAATATAGACTGATCTGTTTATGAAATCTTAAATAGAAAGAGTCCTACTCAACTTACTGATATCTACGGCACTATAGGTTAAAATTGAAGGAAAGTGGCTATAACTTTTGAAAGAAGACTTATGAGCCCTCGTTCGTTTGAAGTTTTTCATACTTAGATCTATTTGACACGTATGGCTTAAACTCAAAATCAAATTGATAGCTACATAGGGTTCCTCGTTAGCATCCAACTGAAAATCTAGTAACATAAGGATACTCTTCGAGGGAAGGGCTAATGAAAGGCATCCTTCAGGGATTTTCTTATCTCACCGACAACTACCTTATGGACAGAGGCTCAACTCGAAAGCGTTTTTCGGTTCCAAGGGCTGCCTCATCAGATGAATATACCTTGGAAGCCTTTGTGCGAAACCTTTTAGACTTTGTCCGGTGAAGGTTTCATACTGAACCTTGTGTACGAAACCATTTTTCATATTCACGAAGAAGAAGTTTCATACGAAACCTTTGTTTTTCCGAAAACGAAAAGGATCTGACGGTGTGCCCGTGATCAGATTCTTCTTTGGTTTCGGAAAATATCTGTTTTTTTACAGTGCACAATTTGCTAAAATGAATTTTTGTTGAAGTTTTTTCCCCTATATAGATGTGTTTATTGCCAATGTGTTAGCAACCTTCATCATGGTTGTGTAGTATTTTTGTTGACATGTAGATCTGAAACAAGCACATGGGACGAATGCAGCGGAGTAGGAGTATAAGTATTGTGAATGTGGATGTTTGTTTGAGTAGATGTTGGTGTCGGTGTTAATGCTGGTGTTGTTGAGTTGAAGACGACACCCACATTCACACCCTTCTAATTATTACAATGCTATTGTTTTTCTTGTGTCAGCATTTTTATTTTTGTTCTAGTCATATTTGGTTAAACACTTCATTTGTTATTATCAATAATACTGTAACAACAGATTGAAGATGAATTATATAATGTGTTTGTGTATGTGCGTATGTATTTGTCCTTCCGTTTTTCTTTCATTTCCTTCTCATCCTCCCAATAGCAAATACGTTTTATGTAAAAAAGACAAAAAAAAAGCAGAAGAAGTTTTATTTGTTGTTTATTCATTCAAATTTTGTTTATCATTTTGTTTTTCGTTAATTTCATCGGACATATATACCGTTCTTTTACTTCACTGTACCAATTCCAAAAACTATATTCCTTTCTACACATACAATATAATATGCTTTTATTTATTTATCAAAAAATTATGATTGAATGAAATTAACATAGGATAAGGAAGAAATTACTTGGTTGAAAGTTGTGCCACATTAAAAACATAATGGCAAATATACATATTTTTCGATGAATATTTAATGACAGAAATATGAAATTTAATGAATGTACTTGAAATAAATTACGAATAGAATGATTATTCATTAATATTTGCATGTAGCTATGTACGTCTTTCTCGTTCTTTTATAGCGTATTATATGCATAAAACATAATATATAAAGAGTTTGCAGTGGTGGATTTAGGATATTTTTATGTAGAGTAATTCGATAGCAATGAAGACGCTTCCGAGCAGATAGTGAGCTCTGCTAAGGGGATATGGGACTCTTTTGTGGTGACGGAGGGCGATTATAATCATCAAACATATTTTGAAGCTCATTAGAGTTGTGTCAGCCCATTTTTTAGTCTTTTCTGCCAGAAAAAAATGGAAAAGCTTTTTGCAACGGGATTGATCATCTCCAGCGCCATCCTAAATTCACTACTGAGGGTTTGTATTCTGAATTATTCATTGTTTAAGTTAAATTACGGAATTCATCATTCTTTTCTCAATGCATTCAGATTATTGACAGTTTCAGTTCTTTTAAATGATTAATCAACTTGGCATACAGTAACTAATTTTTCAACCTGTCTAATAAGTATATTTCTATAAAAGATGCGCTCGGGTATAGTTATGATAGATGATATATCAATTCATGAGCGAAATATTGTTTTTTAATAAAAAGTTTTTCGAAAAAAAAGTTGTGCTTATTTTTTCATTGATGAAATGTGGGCGAAAATTCGCTCTGATGGTGACGACATCGATACACACATTTTATATTCAGTTTTTTCGTTTTTTATAAGTGTAGCAGAATAAAAAAAATCTTTTGCTATAAAACTTACAAATTGATTCTTCCTTCCCTCATCTAGTAACTTCATATTCTTACATATACATAGATATACGTTGCACTTGACAATTTGATACTATCGTTCGTATTTTTTTATCAATCATAATGCAAGCGGTAATTTTCTCAATAGTTTTTGCATTGGTTATTCTTTTATGTGGTAAGATAAAAATATTTACATATAATATTTTTTATTAGACTCTTTTTTTTTGCTTAGTACCAGCAAGATCAATAGGAAATATTGAATCTCCTTCGAAAGTATCAAGAAAAGATATTGTTCAATCACCAAATTATGCAAAGTTATTAAAACTGTTGAAAAATCGAGAAAGAAAATTTTATGACAATGATGATGACGACAGTAGTAGCGACGAAAACATCGATGATATTAAACGTAAAAGAGAACAATTGACATTAGCAAATCGACGACATTTTCTTCTTCCTCTTCAACGTGGTAGTCGTCGAACGCGACCATCACATACCTACGGACAAAAATCTCATTGGGATACGCTTTTTGGATAAAAACAAATAATTCTATTATATAATACATTTATTATTCCAATTTGCATTTAGTTATGCAAACAACGTATTGAGCATGAACTATATTTTATTCAAATCTATCATTAAACAAGAATTTCATTGTCGTCATTCTTTTTAATTTCTTTATTCCTTTCTTACTTGGTAAATATTTGCATTTGCCAAGAAAAGTAGAAGCTTCAAGAAGGTTTTGAGTAACAATGATTAACGATTATAATGCTTGCATATGACAGCTGGGCACAGCAGAATAGTCTCTCTCGTCTCTTCATGCAGTAGGATAGTATAAAAAGAATTGATTTTTAATTCTTTTCTTTGACTGAGTAAGACAGAACAGAATCCAAGATAGAGAGAGAGCTGGATAAAGTTTTTATGCACTGCAAGGTTAAATGTAAAAGCTTCACCTTCAAGAGTTCCTCTGCTTTCGAGCCTTGGCTTATGAATGGCAGAAAAGAAAGAAAAAGAATAAATTAATGATGTAGGTTGTCGGTGTGTGGGTGTAAAATATACATCGGAGCTCAACGAAAATTCTCCAGACCCGCACCCGTCATATCAACCAACATGGACACCCTAAGATTTATTTGAATTGAAACGACCACCATCTGATGGTCCAGGTTGTACAGATGAAATATTAACACTATAGTTGCTTAAAACACCCGTCCGTTACAGGAGTGATCCCCATATGTTGCCCGCTCATATCATTTTATTTCCAAAAGAACGCATCTTAGTGTTGAAATGGAAATGTCAATAACTCTAATAGATATACACGGAACATGAGTGACTTTTCTAGAGCATGCTCCTGGGCGAATCGACCTAGAAAATGTCGAATCTGGACCTGAGATAATCAACGTAAACAGTAATATGAAGTTCACATCACCCCCTCCCCAGAATTGAAGCCCACCGGGCCTCTATTTTGTTTTAAAAATGATAAGATTTTGTAAGCGAACCAATAAGATATTCGTTCGCTATATGTAGTACATATTTTGGCGTATGGTATTTTCCATCTTTCATTTTTGCCGTGCATGTTCGTTTCCTTCTTATTTTGTTCTCTCTTCTTTTTCTGATTATTTGATCTATCTTTCTTCAAGTGTGCTTTTTCCAAGTATATCCTACTATATAGGTGAGAATGCACCAAGAATTAACCGATTTCTTTTTTCCGCTCGTACACTCCAGAAGAAATCGGTTTCTTATTGAACTTTAACAGTTTCGCATTTTTATACAGAACGAGTTTAGGTTTAGTGAAATGAAAATCGTTTCGACTTTTTTGTTCAGAGCTTTGTTAAGTTCCGTAGATTTCACAAGGTTACGGAAATCTGACAATGAAACTCTTCGTAAGTTTCGTAGGACATCTGAAGGCTTCACATATTTTATACGGAACGGTTGAGTTTCGTAGACTATGCTAAACTTTCGAAGTTTTGATATGAAACCCACAATGATTATTTTAAGTGTTAATAGGTTCCGTATGCTTCGTACAAAACCACACTCTAAAAAATAGGTTCATTACCGAAGTCTAAAAGTTTCGTATTTTCGCTTCGAACCATCTTAGGTTCACTGAAACGAAACTATTGTCAGCGCCAGAATTAATTGTGGGTTGACGTAAGACAAATATTCCAAGAACGGCAATAGCTGGCGACTTGCAGTTTTGACCAATCGAATGAGGATGAATTAGGACATGTTTTGATATATTATTGCGCAAGTTGAAATCATTACCTAACCAATCGTTTTTGGAAATCTTTCCAAAAGATGCAAAATTATACTATGCAGTTCTGATGAATTTTTGATTTTGACATATGCGTTAGATAGAAGGATTTCAGATCTGTATTCCCATATATAGCGCAGATAATTATCTTCTCCCTTTCTAATACTGATCAAACCGAAACAAACTTCAATTCCATTTATGAATCGATAATTATTTTAATTTGAGAGTAAATTTTTATTTTTTTGCCTGAGTAGAGTCTGTTCAGAATTCATATAATCGGCTAAGCATGCTAATAAGAGATATGAATAATTATTCAGTCTCTGTTCTTAAGAATGCTTTTGCGAAGTGTATCGCAGTTTTATTATCTCTTTTACCTTATTCTTATGATATCAGTTATACATCTTCGTCTTAAGCAGTACTTTTCGGAACTCTACAACATATTTATATATATATATTGTTTATTTAGAGCTGGAACACATATATACTAGTGTGTAATAATCGTGTTATACCGAAAATCACTGTGCTTTTTTAACCAATGATGCTATTAGATGATACAAACAGCTTCAAACAACTTGAATAGGAAAGACGATGTTAAAAGTCAATGTTCTATTCATCATCACTTGATGAAAAATCAGATTCTTCGTTACCAAGCATAGATTCGATATCTTCTTCCATATGTCGATTGGCAAGTTTAAATTTATTTTCAATATCACGAATGTGCTTGATGTAATTCACAGCTGCATTGCCATCATAGCCAGCAATAAACTGTGCAGCAAAGTGTATGGACATCAACAAGTTGGAAGCGAATGTTGTTCTTTCGTATATATTCTTTTAAATTTGCCCAAAATAACTCAATAGGATTCAAACAACAATGTCTGAAAGGTAACCAAACGATTTCCACATTAAATTTCATAGCTATCTCGTTTACCTATTTTATATAGTAATTAAAAAAATAAACTTATACATATATAAGTATTACGTTGTATAGTTTCATTGAACGGTTGGCTGATGCAATTTCTAAAAGCTCTGCTTTTGACCATATTGGATTAAAGAGAATATTATGATTATTTAGCCACTACTTTATCTGATCTTTTCTCCAAGATCTTGATACTGATTTACTTGAATCAACTAGTTCACAATGCCAGGATGTGCTATCGATCACAATACAAATGCGTCTTTGTGGACCTATTTTATAACAGATTTAGATATTACGCTAACAACTGTAGCAAATAAAGTTGATCATACCATTGTCATCGCGAAGACGAAATTCTGCTTTTTCAATCCATTTAAGAAAGTAATCAGAATTAACTGAATGGCCTTTTGAACAAGAAAATATATCAATAGTTGGCAAATAAATTTCATCAGTATTCATCATTGCTGATATTGCAATCTTACTGCGTAAAACGTCCAAATTCCTCTTTTGTTTCCAATATGAAACTGAAAAAGTTACCTTTCCCTTCGCTCTTTTTGATTTCTCCTTTTCTTCACTGTCTACCCATATTGGCGTTTTTTCAGCATCTGCATTAATCCAGATTTCATCTTAAAAAAAAACAAGTATCTTAGTATCGCGTAATTCATCCATTTTGCGAAAAGAATTCGCTCTCTGAGCAACAAAAGCAAACTTATCAAGTGGAAGTTTTACCTTATTAGTACATTTTTGAGAAAAATCCAAATGATGAAGATGCCGACGAAGTGTTGTTTTAGACTAAACTGGAAAATCAGTATGCACTTCATGAAGCCTTTCTAGAAGATTGGATGTGTTCGGATAAATCTTTTCAGCCAGTAATGCGTGGAACTGAAATCTTATTTCACTATCAGCTTGTTTGGATAACTTTATAGGCCATTGTGCAGGTCTCTTCTTGACTGGGTGTGAGTGTGAGTCTGAGCAAAGAGGCGCAGCTAACATCTACACCCAACCCAACTCAACCCGACCCAACCCGACCCCACCCAACCCAACCCAACTCAACCCGACCCAACCCGACCCCACCCAACCCAACCCAACTCAACCCGAAATTAAATCATATTTTTTATATATACAGTATCGGACAAAAGTCTTCACCCACCCAGATCTTAGCTAGCATAGACACCGGAGGTCTGAAAATTTGTGTGCATATAATCCACCCAGAATGCAGGTCAGAGCTATGAGCTTGTTCTGATTGCTAAGATACTGCGAGNGGTAACTATGATAAAGTAATGATACGTGTTTTTATTGGTTTACAAATGGTTTCTGGAGTGAGCCGCGTATCCTCACCTTAAGTGTTACGTTTAATTCCTTTGGTAGAATATTCTTTTTGTTCCTCTCTTATCATATGTACACATAAAGTGTGGTGATAAGAAGTGGCCGTGTTCTCATATTGAAGAGTATAAAAGACAGACCAAGTACAACACAAAAAGGGTAGAGTATTTACTCAATATCATTTAATATTCAACTACTGTTCGAGAAGTAACAAATGGTGAATGAACAAGACAAAACTACAAAAACTGATATGCAAACTCGTCATCCATTGGAACCTTTATCACTTGCTGAAATCGAACTTACTGTTGATGTTTTAAAAAAACAAAGTGATAAAGTCACATCAACAACACGTTTTGTATCGATTACTTTACATGAAGCATCAAAAGAAAAAATAATTAATAAATCTAATGAAAAAATTACACGTGAAGCTGATGTTGTTCTATTTGATAATGGAACTAATTCATGTTTTGAAGCACGTGTTTCACTTGAAAATGAAGGTCATCTTATTTCACTTGAACATATACCTAATGTTCAACCAACAATGACAGTTGATGAACAAGTTGAATGTGAACAAGCTGTACTTCGTTCAGTTGAATTTCAAGAATTAATACGTAAACATTATGGAATTGATGATATCAATCGAGTTATGGTTGATATATGGTCAAGTGGATATTATGGACAAGAAGAAGAACGTACACGTCGTTTAGCAAGACCTTTATGTTTTGTACGATCAGATCCAACTGATAATGGATATACACATCCTATTGAAGGTTTAAGACCTGTTGTTGATCTTAATCTAAGTAAATTAATTATTTATAAACTAAAATTTAAAATATTTATTTTCATTTTATAGTGGAAGTTATTCGTATTGAAATATATAATCATTATCCAATTCCATATATGAATTTCAATTATGCAGCTGATCGAATAGAAAAATTTCGTGATGATATTCGACCATTAGATATTATTCAACCTGAAGGTCCAAGTTTTCAAATTAATGGCTATCAAGTATCATGGCAAAAATGGTCATTTGTTGTTGGTTTTACAATGCGTGAAGGTTTAGTTCTTCATCATTTAACTTATGATAATCGATCCGTATTATACCGAGGTGCATTAAGTGAAATGGTTGTACCTTATAGTGATCCAGCTGAACAACAAGCACGAAAAAATGCATTCGATTGTGGTGAATATGGTTTAGGTAGTTGTACAAATAGTCTTGAACTTGGTTGTGATTGTCTTGGTTATATTAAATATTTCGATGCAAATATGTGTACAAGTCGAGGAGAATTATTAGTTATTAAAAATGCTGTCTGTCTTCATGAAGAAGATGTAGGAATTCTATGGAAACATACAGATCGACGATTAAATAATCCTGAAGTAATTTATAGAAACAAATTTTTTTTTTTTTTTTTGGTACGTGATAAAGTTTATTATTATTTTTTCTTTATTTAGGTACGACGAAGTAGACGATTGGTTATTTCAAGTATAGCAACTATTGAAAATTATGAATATTGCTTCTTTTGGTAATTAGATTATTTATTATAGAACATATTTGGTGATATACTGAGAAAATTCATTATAATATTTACTCGATATATCATATTTTTACAAGAATACTATTGAAAATTTATTAAAAAGTCAAATTTCATAATTTTCAAAGCCTTCAAATTATTTTTTAGAAATATAACGCACTGAGACAGAGATTTTCACCATTGACACATTCATTTATCATAGGAAAAAAGGAACAATCTATTATGTTTTCTATTTTTAATTCCTGTTATAAATCTGCTAAAAGTCTTTTTGTTTTCTTGTTTATTAATAGGTATTTATATCAAGATGCTAGTATTCATTTTGAAGTTAAAATGACTGGTATCCTTTCATTAGGTGCAGTTCCACCGGATCAAAAATCCTCATATGGTTCATTAATAGCTCCACAATTATTTGCGCCATATCATCAACACTTTTTTAATATGCGCCTAGATTTAGCTATTGATGGAATAAATAATACAGCATATATGGTTGAAGCTGAAGCTGATCCAGAAGATGCTGAATATAATCAATTTCATAATGCATTTCATATAAATAAAATGCAACTTGAAACAGAAAAACAATCAAGAAATAATTTATGTCTAGAAAAATCTCGTTCATGGATATTTGAAAATAATTCTACGCAAAATGCTATTGGTCAACCAACAGCTTATAAATTATATCCAGGTGATAATTGTGTGCCATTGAGTTCAAAAAAAGCTTGGTGGCGTAAACGTGCTAGTTTTGTTGATTATCATGTATGGGTAACACCATTTGATGAAAAAGAAATGTTTGGATCAGGAAATTATCCCAACCAAAGTCAAGGTGATACTGGTTTATTAAAATATACTGAACAAGATCGATCAATTGTTGATAAAGATATTGTTCTTTGGTATACATTAGGTGTAACACATATACCAAGACAAGAAGATTTTCCTGTTATGCCTGTTGTTCTATGTGGATTTACTCTTAAACCCAATGGATTTTTTGATATAAATCCAGCAAGTGATATTCCAAGACCGATTAAAAAAACTGATGAAACATGTTGCAAAAAATAAAACAAACAAACAACGACAATAATAACATTTGTTTTATTTATTTTTCTTTGATAGATAATATATTTTATTGTGCTAATATAAAAGATTGATCGGAAAAAAATACATATCGTGTTAAGAATAATAAAAGCAATAAATTTCCTTCATTCTTTTTCTATCGTTTACTTTCTAGCATGACAATGATAGAGCAAGCGTGATTGATAAAATGAAAAAGAAATCAAGAGAAAGAAAGAGAAAAAAAAAGAGACAAAGAACTCCCTGTGTTGAGACGGAAATAGCGACTGCGAGAAAAAAGTGACGAGCAAGCGAAAAAGCGCTGGAATATTCAGCGTGCATACAATTTGTGCACGCCAGTGTGAGGAACAAGCAAAAGAAAAATGACCGAGTTTTTTCTTCTCATAGATTCTATAGATACTTCTCTAGCAAAGAGAAAGAGACAGAAAGGAAAAAAGATAATCGTAAGCATGCGCAAGTTTCCTCATTAAATAATATGTGAGTTGATATAAGGACCAACACATAACAATCGATGACATTGATTCAAATTTGTGTTTTAATATCTGTAATCCACATTAAATATGGACACAGTCAAGCATATAATATTCGAGAAATCCCTAATGTGTCCTTTACAACTACATCTACTTTATCATCGACGTATGTAATAATTAAATTTCTTCGGAAACAAAAAAAAAAACAAACAATAATATCATATTTTTATTCCTTATAGAGTAAATCCATTGTCAATAAAAACAAAACAATATTTACGTGATCAATTAATTCACTTGACCGAACAATTTTCTTCATTAACATTACCTAGTACAGATCGAATTATGCGTGAAATTTATATGCAATCACTAAATACATTTATTATTGAAAAACGTAATTTAACTGAACTTGTTCTTGAAATGGCAAATTATACAAATCGTGCTATTATGAAAAAATTAGAAGCTATTAGAAATTTAGTTAATATAAGTGAACAATCATATAGAAGATTTGCTGAAACAGATGAAACAATTCGAAATGCTACGGCTAAATTTATGACGGTTAGTTCATATTAATGTTTATTTTTGTCTTCATACTTAAAATTTTTTTAATTAATTAATTTTTTGTTTGTTAGAAATATGGATATTTCAGTTCAAAACATGTTATTAATGTTACAATAAATAGTACAAATGAAAATTCATCATCAATCGCAACAGCAACATCACCAACAATATCATCATCATCATCATCGTCTACAACATTGGAAAGCAGTTCATTGCCAATGATAACGTTAGATGAATTGTCACCAGAAACTCGACTTTCAACGAGTACGAATACAAATGAAGACTCATCTACTGATTCAATTCAACTAGCAAGTGAATCGGAAAGTGAATACAAGTAAATTTAATTTTTTTTTTCTTTTGTAAAATAATTCTATCAAGTAGTTCTTTCGTTTTTCTTAAGAGCATTAGAAAAAGAATTATTTATTCAACAAAAGAAACATTTCGGCGGTGCTTTTGTTAATATAACACATAGTACAGTGCATGTTCCAACAATTATTTATTCCTTAAGTAAGAAAAATATATTTATCAATTCGAATTTACATTTCTTGTTTCTATGTTTTATTTTTAGGTCGAGAAATTCTATTAACAGCGAATTGGTCTTATAATCTAAATCAAGCATTCATTGATAATTATAATCATGATCCGGAATTAACATGGCAATATTTCTGCAGTCAAACAGGTCTTTATCGTGTTTGGCCAGGACACATATGGGAATACCCTGAAGACGACACAGATAGATTAGATTTATTTGATTGTCGCGTACAAAATTGGTATATTCGAGCAACGTCATCCCCGCGTGATGTAATTATTTTAATTGATGCAAGTGGTTCAATGACTGGACTAAAAAGATCGATTGCTATACAAACAGTTGAAACTATCCTTGATACTCTCTCCGATGATGATTTTGTGCAAATAATAAAAGTAAATAATGGAATGTTGCTTTTGTTTAGCAAATAAATAATTTTTTCTTTCTATTCTAGTTTCAAGAAAATGCAACATTTATTGATGATTGTTTTCAAGGCGGACTTGTTCAAGCAACATTTGAGAATCGACATGTAAGAAACCATTCGTTTAAAGAAAAAGCAAAGATTTTTCAGAAAGCGGAATTTCTATTGATTAAAATAAACAATAGACTTAATTGAGATTATCAACGACTAGTATCAATATTGGTTGTTTATCTATTTCTAAAAAAATAACTTCAGCATATAATCATCATAAGATACGCCGTTCTTTCTAACATCCAATTGAATTCATACACAAAAAAATCGCCTCGAACTTCGATCCCAAGTCTCAAATTTTGAATACTAAGTTACAAAATTGCACAGAAACTAAACTGATTATCTATATATATATGATTAAGATCAATAAGGATATCGTTCTAGTATTGCAAAATAATAGAAAAACAAATAAGTTTTCAACTTTATCTAATCTATTGATCAATTTGAAAGCTGTATTATTGTTGCTCTAATTAAAGAAAATTCTTTTTTGCTTGTTTTTTTATAGAAATTTCGTGCATCAGTTAATAATGGTATTGAAACAAGAGAAATAGCAAATTTTTCTAAAGCACTTAACATGGCATTTGATATATTAGATAATGCACGTATGAATATATCACGAACAGAAAATGCAAGATTATTATGCCAATGTCATTATTTATCAAGCGATAATCAAACTGAAGCACAACGTGAAGCATTTTGTCCATCAGATTTTAATGGTTTAATAAAGAAACCTGCATATATTTCTTTTTTTTTCTATGTCTTTTTCATTATAGCACATGTTTATGATGAAGATGAACAACCATTTTTAGATAGTACAGGATGCAATAAAATGATAATGATTGTTACTGATGGTGCTACAGAAACAGCTTTAAATGTTTTTCAAAGTCGAAATTGGTATCCAAATAATATATCAACATGTCATCCAATTGAAGTAAAAAAAAAAAACAACAATAGACTTTAATTTAACTTGTAATTTTTTTTTCTGATATTGCTTTCCTTTTAGACACGAGTATTTACATATATGATTGGAAGAGAATTAGGAGATCCGAAACATATTCGATGGATGTCTTGTGCTAATAAAGGTAGCATAAATTAGAATGATAAAATGCTATTTTTGTTAAGATTTAAATTAATTATCTTTAGGTTATTTTGCTCACGTATCAACTTTAGAAGATATTCAAGAAAATGTTGAAGATTATATTCCAGTAACAGCACGTCCAATAGCTATGTATAATGATCATGTAACTGTTTGGAGTAGTGTTTTTCTTGATGTTGAAAGAACATTACCAATAAAAACATATAAATGGTTTCCATTTAAATTTACCGATTTATCAATATCAATGGATGAATTTAAAAATAAATCGAAAGTAAAAACAAAAAAATAAAAACACATAGCTTTACAAAATCCAACAGAGAAAATAATAAGATTAATTGATTTTATTTTTATTTTTTTTTAAGCCTGTTAATTTGATGATTTCCATTGCACAACCTGTTCTTAATCCGCCGCATCATGTAAGTAAAACACATTTGAAAATAGAAGGTATGTACCGATAACCTGGCTTCGTAATCGTGTTACATTGTTTGGAAAAAAAAGCGAAGGCTTTGATAAAAAGTGTTACATATGCGAGAAAAAAGTATTTTCCCGTATTAATTTGAGTATCATCATATTAACATCTACAACACGATGCGCATAGATAGTAGCGACTCTACATATAACTATCGTTCGTTGAGATATGATTTAATTGATTTTTCTTATTTCCTAAAGGTCTCAGCAGACGTTGCGAGATTTTTTTCTTTGTGTAATGCGATTTGGAGCATAGGGAAAGAAATGTGAACCTTACCACTCTCCACAGATCGGACGCTAAATGACAAAATTATGTTCCATATTTTTGAGCAAATTACTTTTAATGAAAAGGAACTATCTGTTTTTGCAGCGCGTTCAATGTATTACATGTCATACTTAGAAGCTCAAGCAAAAAAGTTCTTTACTTCGACATAGCTGGTGATAGATATCTTAGTATGATTGCTTCGTTTTCATGGAACACATGAAACGGAAGGCTGTGACAAAATTAGCATAAAATAGGATTGAACTTAAGATAGTTATTCATTATCCGTCTCTCACAATTACTGTAATATATTAGAATTAACATCTTGCAGCTTTAACACGCATTAGAAGTAGGCGGTAATCTATAAGCCGAAACAAATCTTGGCGAATTCCTTCATTACTATGACAGCAGCTCCGTTGTGTATCACATATTAATTCCACTGAGATTGTGCTAACAGCTTTCTATGTTTGTACGCATTTCGATTATCTGATTTGACATATGTCAAATACTATAATGATAAAGCAGAAGACATACAGTTTATATTGAAAAAAATAAATAATTTTTTTTTTTTATAAATCTTTATTCAATTTATTTTTGTTGATAATAATGTGAACACGTATATGTAGAACGGTTGGAAAATAAATCGAACACAAATTTTAACTTACACTTGTGCAAGAATAGTTATAGGAAGTCCTATAAAAACAGGTGGTTTTGAATTCAAATATTTCCAAAAAGTGACGCTACGAAGCCAGTCAGCAATTTGAATAGCTCGCGAACGTGAACAAATATTATGAAATAACTTTCATCAGCTTGCAGTCAAGTCTAGAGAATATCAAACTAAAGTGGAAAATTTTCAAGAAGATTTTTAGAAAAACATTATGATTTTCAGATATTCAACATTATATATTAAGTTTTGAAACATATATATATGATAAAGAAAACTGTTCTCTTTCGAACCTATGGAGGCAAAAGAATGGAAACAAATTTCATTATTTTTGCGGATATTATATTTAAAAAATGGCATTTTTAAAGATGAACGGAAAAAAAAAATTAATTTTTTTCAAATTCATTGATGAAAAGCAACATTTTAATTTAGTTAATACAGTAGGTTTCATTTTTAATTAAAATCATGCAATAAAATTAATGAAAATGTCTATTTTAACCGATGAATTTTATATACATTCATTTTTTGTTCGTTTCATCATTGAAATGCCATTGTTTTTACTTTTTTTGAACTTCCTTGGTACTATCCAAACTCAAGAGTTATAAGAGTTTTTCAGATCCATCTGATTTAGGTTAATCGACTCTGGATTACACATAAAATAGTTTTGGAGAGAAGTAATGATGTTTTTTTTCAGTTTCAAAATCATATCCAATTATTATTTCCAGATATTCGAAATTTCACATTTTCCTGCTTTACACCGTCATCAGCCGATATTTAGAAAATCTTAGATATACTAATTGTAGATCGTATTGAAAGAGAAAACAAAGATCACTATGGAATTGAACAGAATCAATTATCTCTCTGTAAACCACTTCTTACATAGTCTACAGGCAACTAACCAAAATCAAGAAGTCTCTAGAAAACCTTTATAACTCATGAATAATATAATGACGAATTTCAAGTTTGTGTAGTTCGACAGAAAACAATTTGCTTTATTTAATGTATTTTTTAAAATTTAATATAAATATCTGAAAACCAAAGCGTTTTCCTAAGTATTTACTTAAAAAATCTTTAGAAAATTGATCGAAAAAAGATCTTCTGGTATAGTTCAATGTGTCCTAGATGTGACTGCAGGCTCATAAAAATTATTTTGCAATGCCTTCTGTTTGTATTCACGAGTTATTCGAGTTGTCATGGTGTGTACCTCCTATTTTGAAATAAATAATCGAAAAACGAAAGAAATGAATAATATTTTTTAATATAAATAGGCACATGATGAAACAATTCTATTAGGAGCTGTTGGTGTTGATATTCCAGTTAAACTTTTACAAGAATTTTCACCTAAATATCGAGTATGTAATCTTCTTCTTTTTTTTTTTTAAATAATTCATTGCTCTTAGCTTGGTGTTCATGCTTATGCATTTATGATTAATCATAATGGTTATCTCATGTTTCATCCTGATTTACGACCTGTGGTATGTTATTACGCATATGATTTAAGTCATATGATAGAATGAGCACATTTTTAAAATCAATAATTCTATTATGGATTTGTTTTTTTAAATATATAATACTGTTTTTTTAGTTGGGTCCATATCGTAAACAAAATTATCATTCAATTGATTTAGATATGGTAGAAATTCCAGATAAACTTATGAAATTTGTACATGTAAGTTTTTTTTTTCGTAAAAATTTATTACTTGAATAGTTAAGTTTATTTTAATAGCCTTTACCAGCAAGTAAAATTCAAAAAGTAAGATCTATTTATTAAGATCGAACTTATAATAATAATTAACATTCTTTATTTTTTTTTTTTTTTTATAGATACGAAAAGATATGGTTTTATCAATTGCAAATAGACGTTCGGCAAGAGTTAAAAAACATCTAGATGATATGGTAAAATAAATTAAAGACCTAAAAGAGCAAAAAAAAAGCATAATAAATTCAATATTTACTTTTTTCTTTTAGAGACGAATAGAAGAAGTTGAACAAAAATATTATTATGCAACATTAGGAGACAAAGAATCAAATCCATTTAGGTATATACATAATTCAATAATAGAAATATTTGTATTAAATAAATATATTTTTAGTTTGGGTATTGCTGTACGTTTTCCCTATGGTGAATTTCATGTTCGAACAATTGAACCTGAAGCAGAAAAAGTTAAAACAGGTTGGTACACAAAAACAAAAAGAATTTTATCTGTCACGAAACTTTCTCTCAGAAGATTTCATAATAATTTTATATTGATTAAAATTATATTAGACATACGAATAATATTAGAAGTATTCTAAGATGTGATTTGTAGAACATTTGTAATCAATCTATGCACTCAATCTTTTAATCAACAACTACAAAATATGTTTTCCTTTACATGAGTTCATAGTCGTAAGAATGAGAATACCATATCTGAATATTTGATTGAAAAATTTTAAAAAATATTGGAAGAAGATGCATGCGTATAAAAAACGAAAGACAAATATATTAAATATTAATACACGAATGAATTTTTATTCTTTTTGCACAACTACATAGAATAAATTTGTAAAAGGATCCGATGCATTGATAAGATCATCATCGTATTGATTATAAAGAGTATTAATATGATGTTTTATACCTATTGTTCGAATATTTTTTTTTTTTTCATCTTGCAAGACTTTAATAAAAAACTATATGTTAGGACAGTTTCGATAGATACGAATGTTCATTCTATTATTATTACTTTTAAAAAGAATGAAAATAATTTTAAAACCGAAACTTTGATCTTCACCCTCATAAAACATTATTCGTTCGTGTATCACATGTGAACACGTTCCATTAATTCGTATCATTTATTCGATGTGTTTCTCAGCTTAAGAGCAAGATTAGTTATTAAAAACTCTGTAACCAGGTAAAAAACGCCTCAATCTAGGTCTTTTAGTCTGATATTTTTACTACAAAGAGAACTCGACAAACTGTAATCGCAAGTACTAACTCGAGATCGATTGCGCTTAAGGCATTGGTTTCAAAATGAGAACACTGTTTTTTTCCTTGGACTTTAGAAAAAGGCTTTTTGAAGCGTTAATATTCTTTTTTTATTGATAAAATTAGATATAGCAAACTTCAATTGGTTACGATCCTAAAGCACAGTGGCATTTCCATTATTTGACACGTTCTTCATATAGGTCTTCGCTCCACTAGTTATTACAATCATGAAATTTTCACAAAAGCATACTTGATTAAAGTAAAGCGCTCAAATACTAAGAATACCCGAAGATAATCGTTTCACATGTTTTGTATTAGTGATAGAAGCAGCATTGAACTCTTAAAAATATCTGAAGTCGAACTCTATAATCTTTGTGGTTAATGTTGGAATATTCTCATATGAATAAAAAAAAAATTGTTTTTTCTTGACTTTCTACGTTCATCATAGGAAAGCCAATTAAATCCTGATTGGTAGTGCTCAATTTGTGACCAAACAATAAGATCACAGGATTCACATTTACATACCTTTTACCTTGCTGACAACTATTGTATTAGAGTTAAATAATTATGTACATTGTTGAATTAGACTATAGTTGTATAGTTAAACATATTATTCAATCATAATAACGAAACTTTTCTTCCTCTTAACAATCAGTATAGATTAAACTTGAAAACTAATTATAAATTTTTACATTTATCTTTCTAGCTCTTCGTTTTATTCTTCAACGAAATGTTCGTATTGCTGATTGGATTTATTGTAATTCTACAGCTGAAGATGATATTGGTGATACAGAAGAATCATTTCGTGGTTATTTAAAAGAAAAAATTGAAACTAAACACATTGGTTCATGTATATATATATATATAAATACATACATATCATTTATCTTATTTATTGCTTGTTTATTTTTCAATTCTTCTAGGTCCATATAGAGCAAGTCGACAATTAATATATATGATGATTGAAGAATTATATATAATGAGTAAATTCGAAAATTGGACAAAAACTGGTATAGCTGATCATGAACATCAAAAACCATTAGATCAATCTGCTTATTTCGATTTTAAAGAATATCAACGTGAAAATCATTTACATTGGATATTTTTAGGAACACGTTCAGGTATAACAGCCTATTGGAGATTATATGATTTAGCTAATGAAGAACATATACGGTAAAAAAATAAAATAAATTTTAAATATAAAAAATTTCAATTGAGTTCTTTTTTCTTTTCTTAGACAATTTGGTGATGCAAATCCAAATTCAATTGAATCAAGTTATTATGAACGAACAATAAATGCAACTTATACATATGGTGCTGATCATATACATGGTGATTATCATGTTTATTCACTTTTTTATGGAATATCAAATATACCAGCAACAAATTCACGTATGTATTAGAATTTATGTCGATTTTTTTTCTGGCAAAATAAAAAGTTTTTCTATAGAAATGATTTTGGAAAATCATACAAATACAACAGGTATACATTTTTATTATTCGTTGTATGTACAAAAGAGAAGTTTTCTTAACTGATGAATTGCTTTTTGAATTAAGACTATGTGCATCATGTAGATCAGAATAATTTATGACTACCCTCAAAAGAGTTTGAGTTCTTAGTTTATTATAATTGAGATATTATAGCAGTATAGTATTTTTGAAACCAACTATTCTCGCTAAGGTCAATTTCTGTGCGAAGTTTTAAGTCGAAATTCAAAAATGAATTTTTTTTTTGAGAGTTCACGGCATTAATTTAAAAAAGTGCCTTATTGTTGCAATATCTCAGCAGCAATAAACTAAGGATACCGTGCAACATAACGTAGACATCAGGTGAAAAAAATGAAAGTGACCTTTTTTGAGATTTTAATAGTAACTTACACACTTTGATGAACGACTAGTTTTTTGTTTTGGTGAAATACAATATTGCCATGGCTGCTATTTTCATTGGAAAAACTTTGTCGTAGAAAAGGTCAAATTTAAGTGTCATCAGAGAAAAACATCATTTTTCTGTGAAAAATAAAAAGAGTCAGACAATAAATAATATATAGTCTGAAGCTAGACTCTCTCGATTGATAAGAAAAGTTTTCGTTCTGAATACCTAATTATACTTTTTTCGCAAAGACGTCTTCAATAAAATTGACCACTACCTTCTTCCACTAATCCAATGTCGACGAAGCTTTCAGAGAAGGTTTTTCTATTTCTCGAACATAGACTTAGTTGTCACAAATGCTTCTCAGTTGAAATACAAGTTTTCTAAAAGAAAATCTTGTTTTTCACGGTTTCTTTCTTACAGAGACATATTGAGAGAAAAATAAAAATATATTTGGAATCAGCACAGAAACTTGCATTGAATGATGTATCATCTGTCAATTTGCAAAATAAAAAGTTTTTTTTCCCAGGAGTTTAGAGTAAGGGTCTCCCAGAAATTCTCCATTACAGATGATCTTGTCTTTTTAATAATCTTTTTTTTTTTGTGAATAAGACGCTAATATTTCAATGAGAAAAATTCGCTCTTGACAGACAATAAATTCCTTTCACATATTCGATAGATATTGCAAATTGTGAAGAGCTCAAATCCTTTCCAGAGTATTCATTCATAACTCATTATGATCTACATGATGCTTATAGCATAGATGTTTATCATCGCTGCCGCGATAGTATTTTTGAAACATTTTTGGTTCATAGTCTTGATTCAAAAGCGATTAATCAGTTTAGAGACTATCTTCGTTAGTCTAGACTTCTTTTTTCTTTGTTGTTTAAATTAATAACTGATTTTTCTTTTATAGAAGGACATATGGGATCATCAACACCAATGACAACATCAGAAAGATATTTAGTTGTAACAACAGCTATATGGATGAATAAAACATACAATCGATCAAAAACTGCACAAAATGTTCCATTTGGAGTTTTTGGAGTTATGTTATCATATAAAGCAGTTCGTTCAAAACAATTTTCCAATCTTTGTGTATTTATTCAAATGAATATATTTTATTTTAAAAAAAAGTGTTTTTTTTTTGTTTTTGAAAATATTTTTAGGCTCAAATGGAGACGGGTATATGTTATATTATTGATGAAAATGGATATATTATGTTTATTAATCAACAAGAAGGAAAAGATCGAACAGTATGCCTAAAAAAACAGAGTTCTGTGAATAAATTTTTTCTTGATAAATTTTAGGATGATATTGGCAGATTTTTGGGTGAATTCGAAGGAGCAATTATGCAAGATCTTGTAGCGAAAAAAATTTTTTCAGAGTAAGTTAATATATAAGTTATGTTCAGTTCAGAATTGAAGGTTTCATATAAAGATCTATTTTCATAAAATCGAATGTTCGAAGCTTATAATAGGGAACAAAAGTCTGCCACTTCACATATTTTGAATAGCATACATATCCCGATGATCTAAAAAATGTGTATGCACATACTCTACTAATAATGTAGATCAAAGGCACGAACTTATCCTAATCTATTAAACACAACGAGAATTATAATCTATCGTATCTATTTGAGTTCATAAATCTAAGAAAGAAGGACTTTTCTTGTGGATTGATCAATTCTTCATTATTTTAATGATTCGTTCCAGCTATTTAACATATTAATTTTATTAAATGTCATCAAATCTTTCTAGAATAGTGACAATTCGAATGAAGAAAAACTATTTGCTGGTCTTTGGAGACCATAAATCGGTTATGNGTTTCATATAAAGATCTATTTTCATAAAATCGAATGTTCGAAGCTTATAATAGGGAACAAAAGTCTGCCACTTCACATATTTTGAATAGCATACATATCCCGATGATCTAAAAAATGTGTATGCACATACTCTACTAATAATGTAGATCAAAGGCACGAACTTATCCTAATCTATTAAACACAACGAGAATTATAATCTATCGTATCTATTTGAGCTCATAAATCTGAGAAAGAAGGACTTTTCTTGTGGATTGATCAATTCTTCATTATTTTAATGATTCGTTCCAGCTATTTAACATATTAATTTTATTAAATGTCATCAACTCTTTCTAGAATAGTGACAATTCGAATGAAGAAAAACTATTTGCTGGTCTTTGGAGACCATAAATCAGTTATGACTCAGTAAATCAAGCTAAAACTTGTACAGATACTTTATTTTTAGCTGAGCATTATTACCTACAAGTTTCATAGGCAATTTTCTATTCGATCATCTGATCTTAGTAATGCAACGGTTTAGTATAAAAAGCTTGAAGCAAAGATGATAAGCACTCTTCATTAGAATTCTCATTATATTTAAACAAGAGGAACAAGCTCGTGCTTGTGATCTATAGCATTAATATTGTATTAATACACAAATTTTCAGATCGCCTGCATATATAGTAGATAAAATATGAAGGAGGATTGGAAATATTTGAAGGAAACAATAATTCATCTAAATCGATTGACAAAATTTTTTTTTTAGAGTAAAAATGGTCGATTTTCAAGGTGTTTGCTTACAACGTCAAATACGATCAGAAAAAAGTTCTGGTCATCATTTTCGTGGTGTATGTATATTAAAATCTTTTAATTTTATTCAATTCTAAATTTATGTTTTTTTTTTGTTACAGATTCTTCAAACAATTTCAATTATGCTTTGGAATATTATCAATCATTTAGCAATGTATTAAAAATTATTATATATTTATATATTTTATTTTAATTATTCAATGTTAATCTTTTAGGATACTTATTCGTAACATAATATATTTTCCTCAATGGTCTTATGCAACGATAAAAACTAATACCGTTAATCAAAGTTTAACTAGCGATAAAACTTTAAGAAAAACTCACTCACGAGAAAGTCTTAGTAATATACTCTTAACACATATTGATTTTCGTCATCCAATATTACATCATAAAATATTAAATTCAACAAAAGATGATGAAACTATTGATAAAGTTCCTGAAGCATGTATTGAAGAATTTAATTTATATGTATCAACATGGAAAGGATGGCGAGGACCATTACCATCAAAAGATAATAAAATAACATGGGAGCAAGTTGAGCGTGATAATACAATATATGGTACAGTTAATTGTACTCCTTCCGTTAAAGAATACATAGACAATTTTGATGATTTATATGAGAATGAAACTAATGATATGAATAGTTCAACAGTAGTACCACCATTATATGTTCCTGAATCATACAGGTACGAATAAAAATCTTTTAAACAGTTAATTATGTTTAGTGAGAGCACTACAGAGAGGGAGGGGGGAGGGATGAGCTCTCCGGAAAATTTTTAACGTTATTACTAACGTTAGTCCTATAGAAGGTCTAAGGTCTTCCGGTGGAAATCTGCCGGAAATTCACGGATCCGGATGTCAGAATTATTGACTTAGCGGAACTCAGCCTCCCTGACCGAAAATTCTGGTGCCACTGCTACTTCTATTGTATTTTTTTTTGTTATTTCAGTTATTCAATATCGAAAATTCCAAAGAGTAATTTAATGTTGATATATGCAAATCATTCCAAAGAAGCATCTCTAATGTGTGAACAATTAATAATAAAACGTAAACCAGTTGAATTTACAAATGAAGAATGGTGTACACGTTTAAAAACAACACCATATCGTGAACGACCACATAAATGTTTTTTTGTACATGAAGGAGAAAAAAAACCTTTATTTTCGAAATGTTCTGATGCTAATCGATTAAATCAACAATATTTATTTGTTATATTACCTGTAATTATTATTGAACTATTTTTTTATTGTACGAAAAAAACTTGATATTAAGAATTTAGCGCTGATAAACCGGTTATTTGTGTTTCAATTGTAAAATATGCTTTTCCTTTGTCTGTTTGTTGCTTTTTGATCAATTTTCCTTTTGATAGACTCGCAATATTAATAATAGACTGTAAAAATATTCGTGAACAACATTAATTGGATTAGAATATAAAATTAATCTATGAATTGAAAAGAACAGACAAATATATTCTAGGACATTCCGAAATAATTAAGTCAATAAAAAAGAAGATTATCATAAGTATTTGTTCTAATTAATGAAATCTCAAGGATAAACAAGTTCTTTGGTTAAATACTGAGTGTGCAACAGTTCCCTTAATTAAAAGTGATTTGTCTCAACAAGAGATATGCGGGACTGTGATGACGAGAGAAAACAGTTGTTCAAACCGACATCAAACATTTGTAATTAAGTTTTCTTTGATTTTTACTGAATTATACTATAAATCATATCAATCAAAATGAAATTCAAGAGAAATTATAAAAAAAGATGACATTAGGCGACTGAATGCGTCAATATTTAAGGCTTGTTTTAGATTCAATGTGAATAAACTTTGAAATAACTTTCTCTTACTTAGAACCATGACCAAAACTACTGAAAACAAAGTTACTAGAGCTGGACTCCCGGACATCTCACGTTTCAACGTCACTCTTTCGAGAGATAATAACTTTTTTTTGGACAGTTCAGCTCTTATCAAAATGACTGTTTAACAGTTCTCATGGTCGCAATTAATATGACACTGTCCTAAGTATACTAAATATATATTTTCGATAATTTCTTGTTAAAAAATTAGAAGAGTGTAAAAGGGTTCATCTGAAAAATATTTAGTCACTGTGATTGAGACGATTCTATTCGTCTAGCATAATGCAATATGAGATCTTCATGTGGAAAAATAAAAAGGCTATGACAACTTAATTAAACTGAAAACGATATCATCAATTCCTTAGAGTTTAGAAATGAAGAACATACTTAATTTATATGTTACAAATGCTAGATCTAATTCTATAAGAGATAATTATTTGGTATGAAAGAAAAATTAAGATTTCGAAGGAAAACATAATATTCAAGAGCTTGACAATTAATATAATTAACTTAGTGCCATGATGATTATATCAAAATCGATTAAAATAATGGTAAATTATATATATCATAAACCAGATTTCATAGTGGCGTTTTTCTTTTCTAAATAAGCCATTGAATATAAAAGTTGAGAAAGTTTTGGTTATGGATGTGACTGAGATAAAAATGAATGTCTTCACTTTATATTCACCTCATTTTCACATCCTCATCCATCCGTTAAGATCAGTCACAATGAAATTCCATTTAATAATCCTTAGCCATGGCAAGTACCATTTATAACACGAGCATATACATCCTTGGAACTCTGAAAGTTTTACAATTTTTGAAAATACAATGGAGAAATTTTATATTTAAAACCAGTCAATAGATGCTCAGCAGAGTCTTCAAATTGATATAGACACTGGATTTATAATCCGAACTATCGAAATATGTCAAATAAAAAAATTTTCAGAGTATTTTGTCGTTAGATACTGAATACTGCATTTTGATCTGCTGGTTCGTTGATTGTTGTTAAGCTACTGGCTGGCAACTATTTGATGTTTGCAAAGTTCTTGGTGCTCCCCGATTGTTCATTATGAAAAAGTCGAGATTCGAGCTTTTTTTTTAGTAATGTGTGAAATGACCGATATAGGCATGACATGCCTTGAAGCTGATCAACAAATATGATCTGATATCCAGATATGATCCACTTGGATATATCTATTGAGATAATCTTACTTTCGCGTGAGAGCGAGTGTTGGAACCCTTCACAAAGTATTTGAAAACATCGATGCACAATTCGTATGATCTAGTGAGCCAGTTCCATTCCTGAGTATTATTTATCTACCTATTGAGTCAATTTCTAAGAACTGGCGCTAGTCAACTAGTTCTCAACGTCTGAGCTGTGACATGGAACTGTTATAGTGTTATATGGTATGGTCTCGTCAGCAGTCTTAACGTTATTTTCGCTTATCAAAACATTGATATTCATGACGAAATTTCCATTTCATTATGAATATCATGTATCAGAGAAGCGTTTTTCTTTATTTTTCATTTGCAAGTACAGTAAAAGCTTCATCTGTGTTCGATCACAAACTGGACTTTTGATGTAACAAGAAAATGCTGAGAACAGTTTACTGTTTACTTTATGCTTCATGTTAAACGTACATTTCAACAATTATTATCGGATAGAGCTGAATCGAAAAATGTCTCAATGATAAAAGAATTGTTGTAGAATCTTATAAAATATATTTAAATGTTACGTAAATGAAATTTTTTATGATTCTCAAAAATAATATACAATACTGAATCCTTTGGTGCATCTATGTGTGATTCCAATAGATTTCTCTCTTGATATTAGAATGAAAAACCTCTTTTATTTTCTGTTTTCGTTTGTTCAATAATATGGTGCACTTAAATAGTTGAAAGAATTCTTGATGAGAACGTTGTAGCTCAAAAGTACACACTTTAAAAATGACAAATGAAGGACTTTTTTTATTCAAACATCCTCAACCAAATAGTCTAATTGAGCTCTAGTCTGTTTGAGTATCTATCTTTGAATTTGGTCGTAAAAACAAAAGTAGTTGCATGTTTTATTTTTGTTTAAATTCATTTAGTCTCTTCTTTAGATTTTCCAGTAATCGGTCAATATCTGCAGTTGCTCGATCCGAAAGACTGCATTGTCCCGTTTGGTTGTATTGATTTCGTAGATTGTCGTAGTACTCAATCGCTGTCGTGAAGAGAAGACCCACAAGGTTTCGGTCATCATTTACGATTATGATTCTGTCTGGCAAAGTTTCCTTCGTGACATAATCAACTCGAACGAAAATTTTATGAAGGGTGCCATCATTCAAATATTTTTTGAATGTTTCAACGTGATCCAATGGGCATACCAAAATGTTGTGATATGGTGGTGTAGTTTTGATAATGGTGCATATCTGCTCAGTTGTGCTGCAGCTAGTCACATTGGGAAGTTCAGTTTCTAAATTGGAAATTGTTTCTAAAGCTTTGAAAATAATAAATCGTATCTCTGTGATATCCATAGATTGATTCTACAACAAAAAACAATATGTAATCGAGCTGATTCATGTAAAATTAATACTGTTTGTTTCCACTCCAGCGACATCGCGCATATTTACTTGACATTTCTGTCTAAATATGTTTTTATATGTGCACATCTCTCATTTTATGTTTATTTAAAAAAAACCTTACATGACGACACTGTCGTTTTGTATAAATAGTATGCAGCATGCATTTCAACGTTCTTCGGATCTTTCAATTGCTACGAGCAGCAAACAAATATCACTCTTTTTTTTAAAGTCAATCTTATTCAAACAAAGTAGATTTTTTTCATTGCTCGGTGAAAGATTCGAAATAGTAGCATATTCTCTGCTCGTTTCATTTCATACAAAAACAAAAAAAATAAAAAAAACAAGAGAATCAGTAAAAATGTCATGGACACATGTTATTCAGCAATCACCAATAATAGGATGTTCTTACCAATAGTCAATAGAATTGTTCACGTTAAATGACACAGCACCATTAGTAGCTTGAAAGAACTTGTGATAGAGAAATATGACTTTAGCTTCTATAGAGAAAAAAAGGTATTTAAACAGATGATATGCCATTATGGTTAAATTTTAAAGGTAAAAAACAATGTCGGAAATGAAAGATTTCGTTTTTGTCGAATAATATGAAAAAAAAGATTGAAATCTTCGTACTTCCTATTCTATTTTTTAGAGGACAATCTGTATATCAGATATTTTCATAGTAACTGTTTGTTCTATAAAGTGGTAAAGAGTATATTTGAAACTACACGTAAGTAATATGAATGTACGAGATGCCACTTACAAAATCATTTGAAAGCTTAACATGTCTTTCTCATAGTATTTTTATTTTTCTCTACGTTTGGTTCTTATGACAATTTCTCTTAATTTTGTAAAACTACATCTCTTACATTGATATGGCTGGTACATTTTTTGTATAGAATTCAGTAGAAAATCGTTTGATTCAAAAAATTGCTCACCAACGTATATTAAGAGGAATAGGATAACAAGTAAACGATGTAACTAATACTTGAAATCGGTCAAATAACATTTGTTTCATAATGTTGAACCAATTGTTTTACATATGTAATATTGTAAAAATGCTCTTACCACAATGATTGACAACGCATGAGTTCTTTCAAGACGAGAATTCTCAACACTTGATATCATCGATTTCTATATATGAACACATTGAAAGCGTATGAAACAAATGATTCTGCAATTGAAAATTTTATGAAGTCATTTCTAACATTGTTTGTGTGATTACATACTTAGAAAGAGAAAAGTTAAAAATACTACAACTACAAATTATTTATCGTTATGTCTACATATTATTGATAAATGAAACGAAATGGAATAATAACTAGGACCAAGAATAATAGAAGAAAAATAGATAATTAATTCTTGTATCACAATGAAGATGAAAACAATGTATGCACACAAGCAAAAAAAAATGTCTGATTATTAAGTCATCATCATAGTTGACTGACACTGGTTGATGCAAAATACATTTTTCCACTTTCTTTGTCTGTCATTCCTATATCACCGATACGCATGTTCATTGGCATAAATGTTGTTCGATCACCTGTTGCTTTAACCATTTCAACATCAAGACGTTTCAATTCAAGTTGACTTGACAATGGTACTTCTTGCAATAATTTAGCGGCCTCAGCATGTTGCTTAGCTGCATAGAAATCAGCATCAGCTTTGGTCCGAATAACGAATGCGTTGGTTTCGGCTTGAATTTGTGCTTGCTTCTTTTCTCGTTCAGCCTGCTGCATAGCAATATTAGTTTGAGAACGCATATTAGCTAAACTTGTTGCTGTTTCAACACGCGCTTGAGCACGTTTTCTTAGTAGATCTTTTACACTATTATCAAATTCAAGCTTTTCAATGTTCAGATCTTGTAATTCAATACCCCATTTGTTAACTTTGTGAGAAAAATCATGAAGAAATGCATCACGAATGTGCTGATTAAAATTTTCAGTTCCATCGTCATGTTTCATTTGAATAAGATCGTCGTTTACTTTTTGTGGTACAGGTGGAGCTATTTCATCGATAGCCGCATTGAGAAAAAGCGAAGTGAGAGTAGCTTCAGCTGCTCGTTTTACTGCTCCATGAATATCTTGTACAGTCATAAATGCTGCTCTTGGATCATGAATACGATATGTAATCAGACCTTTAGCTGTGATTGTAACTCCATCTCGTGTATTAACTTTTAGTTCGTCGAGTTCTCGCACTTGAAGTTGAACAGATTGAAATCCATTGTTTTTGTCAAAAAGAAATGTGGGTGAATTAGTCTCGAATGGACCTGATTCAGTATCTTCTGGTCGAATAATAATTTATTTTCCGATATCAAACGCAACGGCAACGAATCCAACGGGCACAGTAATTCGTCGATAAGTACCCAATTCAATATACTGAGCATTTGCTGGAGTACTCCTTTCGAAAATGTGTGGTGCTGTCAAAATATATCGGCCTGGATCAAGCAGAATGGTTTCTCCATTTCGAAGGCTTAGGCCAATCTCATCTTGATAAACTGTTACAATTTGTATATTGCCAAGTGCGATTAGTTTACTGGAAATCTCAACCGTTCCAAGGAAATGATTGAACGGAGAAAGAAATGTATGTCGACCAGGTGCAAGAAATTTTGGAGTTGAATTAAACATGGCTAGACCAAGTTCACCATCTTGAACTAAATGTATGCCGAAGCCAGAAAAAATTCGAGAACGTTTTAGTAAATCACGTTGCTCGAGTTCATCGTACAAAGATTGATCGGTGCGCATACGAATTTGGTCATCACTAGTGGCATGATGAATATTTCGACCGAATGTTTTTTTGTATTCAGACACTAATGTGCCGTCAGTATCTACCATGTTTATTACCAAATAAGAAGAGTAACTTGTTCGGATATGTCACTACTTTTTCAGGTATAATATATTTTATCGATGACTATTATTGCATATACGATCGAAAAAAGATAAGTTTATATCCTACGGTAAAATGCATGCTCGTAAGCAAACGAAATACTCATGATAAACACCGAATCTCGCGTTGACTTGATGTAGGAAGTAGTGGACGTGTATAATCAATATGTGATCAAAGGTCAGTGACTCATTATGTCGTCATGTAGAGAATACAATCAACCGTATCAAGTACATACAACAAATGAAGAATAAAAATTATTAACAATTTTTCTACCTACGATAAAGTTAGTGCTCTTTGCAAGTTAATTTTGATATACCGCTGCAGACTTTAGTGTAAAAGATATAAATTGCATTAAATGCTGAATCACTTCACGATATAACGGAAATTTCTTAAAATCTAATATGCTACTAAGATATAATTATAACGAATTTTTATCTATTTTTTTTCGATATATTTAGATAGCATTTAATACCCTGATCAAGAATACGGATGTGAATTTTCTTGAGTCACTTTTAACCGAATAACATTGCTTTTAAGATAATCTACGGATGACAATCTTTTTTTTTCAAACTACTCTCAGTCGTCACTTAATCAATAAAAAAAATCACCAACGTTTCTAGGCTTTTGTTTTTGTGTTAATCAAGCCGAAACTATTCTTTTTACGTTTAACGTTAAGTCGTGCACCTTTAGAACTCTTGATTGACATCATTCAAATGTGTTATGAACTAATAAATCCATATGTTATCATCTTTTTGCATGCTCTTTTCTATATTATAATGGTCCTCATTTTTTACGCCATATGTATTTTTCTCATTCTGGCATGTACATTTTCCCTTTCTGTCTAAAGATCGATTCTTTCTCTGTATCTGCTTTGTTAGGATGTATTCCTTAACGCGCTCGAATATTACTATATCCAAGCTATTGCTCATCAATCTATAAATAGTGGTGAATTCATTACAATAAAAGAGATTGAGACTATAGAGTTGTATGAGATACAAATCTCTTTGTCTACCGCTCGATGAAAGGAAAATTTTTTCAACTGGAATAACTTCACAAATGTCACCTATTCATTATTTGTGGAAGCTATGATTTGAACAAAGCTATGTTTGATGAGCAGGGCCTTTGTCAAAAGAGATAATCAACCTATTGTTCACCAGATTTTGTTTTTTTAAGAGCTCACATTCATGGAATCGATCTTTCATCAATCAACATAAATTTCAATCGATTCTTATCTTTGAAGTGAATTCAATGTTGAATGCAGAATCCAAAGATAGCAAAATCATTTTTATGGCAAAGTATTCAAGCTTTCAAAAAAGTCTGAATACTTTTTAAAGTATATTAATAAAACAACCTTCATCGTAACATTCACCATTCAGACCGACAAGTTTTGATAATGTCATAACTACTAAGAAGCATTTTCTTTTTATGGTTTTATTTATAAAAAAAAAAGCAATTCCAACTAGAACAAAACAAAATAAAATCATTTTGAATATATACACACATGAATTATCTGAACTTAAGAATCACAGAGAGAGAGAGAGAGAGAGAGAGAGAACAGAAAAAACATCAAAGAAAATTAAGAATAATAATAATAATAGCATAAAGAGTTCATTATCTATCTTAATTTATATGGCAGGTTCTAAAATGAGTATAGCCATTCATACTCGAAAAATATTAAAAATCACTTCCTTCAATTATTAGATTGAAGGAAATCATCTTTCATTAACGTACTTTTTACGTCTCCAGCGTCGGACTGTCCTGTAAAAAAAGACTCTAAATAATATTAGTGAGAAAACTACGAGAAATCGTCAAATAGTACTTGTTGTCGAGTGCTTTCTTCGATGAACAATGAATAAATACTATTCGGATTCATCTTGTCTATCTATCTTTTGAAGAGTCATATAATAAGACAATTATTTGTGTGCGCTTAACTGATTGAACAATGAAGGCATGGTTTCAAGATATTGAGGGTGGCGAAAGCATGTTCTTCAGATTTGGTTATTACTAGAGCTGAGAGAAGCAGACGCATCAATTTGATGATATGGATGTACAAGGTTTGTGTATGAAGGTGTAAACATCTCCACTTACACACCTTCATTACCTAATATAATTGTTGACATGAGTATTGCATATGAACCAATTTGAGTTATGTTTCATATGGAATAAGTGATAATTCTCCGTTGATTGTTTAAATCAAAATAAAATTTCGAACTAAACTTTATTGTTTTGCATCAGGTGCATTATTGATCAGCGTCAATTAATGTCATGTAAAAAAATAATCAATGTTAAAGATGAAATAACAATAGGAAAATTCTAAATTTTTGTCATTGCAATTGACAATGAACTATTCTTGTGTGAGTCGCATGAAAAGAAAACGGCTATTATCTGTACGAAAGGAATAATTCATTTATACTATCTGCTCTCGCTTGATATTTTGTCAATGGCTGACTAATGAGTTACCTAGTTTGTGCTGGAAAACGATTATTCATCCTAAACTCATAACAAACATCTATCTTCAATGTCATCAGTCATGAGCATGAAGAGTAACAACTATAGAGAATATATGACAAGCCAATAGTTGAGCAATAATATAAACTAATAGAAAGAGATGAATCATTTATTCATATCAAAATATGATTGGAGTTGATATGAACGTTGATGTTAACGGCATTTGAGATCTACAAAATTTATGCTTTCGAATTTTCAAAGATAGAGGCAAAGGTTCACTTTAATCTCATACTTGGTATTCGCTGATGTAATTTACATACATGACGCTGTCTGAATGTTTTGTGATACAGTGAACTTATCCTGCTTTTTTCATAAACTGACGATTGATAGTTTACATAGTTGCTTCTGCGGAACCATTCAGTATATTGGATGAAGATGAATGTCTGTTATCGTCTGTATATTTAAAAAAGTGACTTCGAACAATACCCTGTCCTCATCGATTCAATTAACTGCACAGTTAGATAGACAGTATTGATAAACCGGCTTTCTCATAGCACCGCCTTTAGAACAAATAAAAGCATAGTAGAATCGACTGGAAACAAAGGGCGCAATGTGTTGCTCTAACTTTCCCTTTATAATATCAGGTGCGTGGCGATCAAAGAGTGAAAATAGGCACAAATTTCTTCTCATTGAGTACCATATGAGCTAGATAACAGCAGTGTTCTGTTTTATCGTTGGTTCCTTCTGTCTAATAGAGAAAAATTCTCTCGTTATTTTTTTCTCTTTTAATTTTGACTTCCTCGTCCAGCGAAAAAATAGTTCATAATTGTAAACAAGAAATAAAAGGAAGGAAAGAGTTGGGCCCTGCATTCTGCTACTTGTATGTGTCACTCATACAAATGCTACTTGAAGGTGGATTAAATTCATAAATGACTTTCATTTTTCTATCAGAGTCCTCTATGTGTTGGACCAGCGACGACAGGTTTTCCCTTTGTACATATATCACCATCAATCGATATCACGCAATATATTAACGCCTTAGAAATGTTAATGGTTACAAGTTTCGACTTGTCGCAATTGACAATGAGCTGACCACCGTCCATTAACAAAAACCAACTGAAGAATCGTCACAACAACAATGACATCATCATCATTTGTAACAAGAAGAATGGCAAAAAAAATACACATTCAAGTGATTGATGTACTTTTTCTTGCTATAAAATAAAAAATAGTGATGTAAGATTTAGATGAATTAAAAAGAGAAGAGACTTGTTCAGTTTTTTCTAAAGGTACAATAACTAAAATTAATCATTAATCACGAGAAACAACAAATTCTTGAACTGATAATTTGAAAGATATAATGAGAAAAGGAAAGATTTCTTTTGTTTCGTTTCGTTTCGTTTGATCTTTTAAAATAATTAATGCAGTAAAAGATTTTCAAGCTTAATAAAATAAAAGAAGAAAGGTAAGAAAAAGAAAGAATTCATCATTAAGTCAACTACAAAAATCAGTTCGAGTTGCTTTAGAAATAATTTGATTAAGAATTGTTGAAAATGTTCATTATCAATTCGAATTTCATTAATCCGATGATAAAGAGCTAATTTTTCGGAAGAGATTTCCAAAATCGTCAAACACTTGATATTTCATTTCAATTCTTTTCTTTTGATCATCAATTGATTTCGTTCATCGTTCACTATATTCAGCAGACTAAAAGTAAAAATGAAAAATAACTGAAATATCATATAAGTTTTATCCAATTGATATTAAGATTATTTTTCTGAAAGATTTCATTTGAGAATATTTTTCATATTATTCTTCAGTTTGTTGATTAGGACTCGATTGAATCGATTTTAAACATAATCGAGGATGTAAGTATGTTAAGATATGTATGCTGGCATATACATCCATACTCACAATCAAATCATCTCTATCTTCAACACTTTTTTCATCATGGAGAAGCTCATTCCGATCAAATTCTTTTCATTTTGACTGTATAATGATCTTTTCATATGTTAATGTTTGTTTTTCTCACATAATTTCATCTCAAAAGGATTCATTTCAAAGTAGTGTGAGTAGAACATGTGCGATGATTCTAACGAAAAAGCAAGAAACTACGTAATACGAAAGATCTCAAAAGGATTGATTTTCTGCAAAAAGAAAAAGCTGATTGATAGAACTGATCTGCTCCTTGTCTCTCTCTCTCTAGTACGTCATAATCCCTCGTTTTTTAATTGAAATATCCGTAAAAGTGATGAAAATGCTTGATAACTCATTTGAAAAATGGTACCCTACTGAAAATAATCATTTCATGTTTAATCTAAAGAATGAAATCTTAAGTTCACTGATCAACTAGTTTCTCTCAGTGTGAAAATCGACTTTTCTCAATGGAATGAGGATTTTAGGAAAAGATTTGTGATCAATAAAGGTTAACATCTTGTAGAACAATTCATTCTGTTCGGTATAAATATAAAGTTCAGAAGGTAAGAATTGTGTTTGTGTACTGAGAAAGAGAAAAAAAAGAAATTTTTCTAACAAAGAATCTTTTTGTGCAAATGCAATTACGTAGTTCATTTTCTTTAAAAAGTTGATTAAAAAAAGAGGTGCATCATTACATTAATAATGTCGAAAAAGAATTTGAAAATTATCAATGTTTGTTGCTGTTATTTCAATTCAGATTTTTAGCACTATTTTCATTCGCTATTTTTAATAAAGTTTGATGTTTTTTATTCATTGGAAACGATTGAGATAGAATTGCATGTTTTTCATAATCAGTCTTCATTGAACCTTGAAAATATCCTAGACAATATGGAATTATATAAACAAATCTTATTCTTCAGAAGAAATGTCTCTTTTTTACTAACTAAATTTTGACGAACTTGTTTTTTTCAATTAATTTACAATCTTTATCTTTTTCAATTTCATTCAAGTTTTTGACTAATTCAGTTGGACTCTCAAAGAATATTCAATAAATGAATAACATTGTTACTTTTTTAATTTGATTGACGATTGATCATAGATAACTAACGATGAAAGAATTATCAGAAGTTTTATCATTCCAAATGAACAAATAATAATATCAATTAAACTCCTCATATCAAATAAATGGAAAGCTATTAGCGTAATCCATGCGAAATTAAAATGCGAAACACGACGTAGTTGCAGTTGCTAATTACAGGGATCTTGTTTTATTCTATCTATTTTTGGACACATTTTTTCAAAATCCTTTTACTAAATCCGCCAAACATGCAACAAAGAAGTAGTTCATACATTATAACGAGACTCTTTTGGTACACGATCTGTGAGAAGAGAAAAAATTTTACTCCAACATTTCAACACTTGTCTTCGAACGTGATTCACGAAAGAAAGGATCTGAAAATATAAACATATAGTTTTTATCAAAACATATATTATTGTTATCTATCAACGTCCTAGCTTATGATAACGTTTATCAAAAGTAAATATTGACTTAAAACCAATGAATGGTTTCCACTCTGTAGCGTATGATTGTTTTAATTGTTAAAAAGATTATGCTTCATTAAGCGTCATAAAATATTCATTCCAATCATGAATATTATGACGATCATAACCGAAAAAATGACACATAATTTCTGAACCTATTTTGAAATACAGGATGTCCCAAAAGTCATGATTACTTAATAAAACAGAAAACATCCCTACTGTTTAAGTGTTTATTCAGAAAACAAAATTTTTCAATAGTGTAGAAAAAAAAACTAGCACTGTTGACTATATATTTACAAAATTAGATCTTTTACAATGCTACGAAGAAAATACATCGTTATTTTCGGTATCGACTGGAATTTCTATTGATGTAATGAACTTCAAATTTCATTGTCAAAATGAGTTATAAAATAATCTAAGACGTTCTTTCCAAGTTTAACAAAATTTTCAATAACCAACAAGTGATTTGTTTTTTTGTAAAGAAATGCGCCAACGATTCGATTGTTTTAAAATATGTCAAGCAGTCATTAAAAAGCAATAAACAAAGAACTGCATAATCTGAAGTCCATAATACCGATAGAAATTCCAGTAGATATCGAAAAGAAATGATATATATTCTTCGTAGCATCGTACAACTTACAAGTCTCCAATTTCAAATAGATAGAAAGTTTTTTGTGTAAACTTGATCAATAGTAGTGTTATCTGTATTTATCAAATAATCATGACTTTTGAGGCACTCTATATAATGATCTTTACTTACATATCACTAAAAGAAGTAATCCAAAGCAGAACAAGATTAATCGAAGAAAAATAGCGAAAAAAACAAACAAGTCGTTATATCTGAATAATGCAATAGTCGATAATATATCTAATGATCTTTGATAAAGAATTAGAAAAGGCCATGAAAGAGTTGATGAAAGCATTATTCGAAAAATAAGACAATTGATTTATCATACAAGAAGATAAGCAGTAAATATGTCTATTGAATATTAGAGATGAAAGCGACCACAATATGCTAGTTAACAGACATACATTCAACATCATCAATATTCTTAATAGTAAATGAACTAATGTATTTGAATCATAGTACCATATCAATAATATGAAAAACAAACATAGGCAATACATCAATATGTGCATGTTTAGTTTTATTATCTTTATTTAAAAGTGCACAAAAATGAGTTTTCTTTATTAATTTTCTAAAGTATAGAAAATTGATTTTTCAAAGCTACATACCTGGTTGATTGATAAGACAAACTAAGTATTAACGACTATGATGGAACGTATCAGCGGCGACATGTTGAAAGAGCAAACTACTAGCTCGTTTATCATTAAAAATGCTATGAAATGTAAATGTTATCAACAGATTCAAACTGCTTGTCAATTATATACATTCTTCCAGTTCTATATGTCGTCACACTGATAAGTAGTGGTGTAAACTCATAAGCGCATCAGCTGCCACGGCTAATGAATGCATCAGCTTACAACTGTAGGTATAGGTTCAAAAGGAAATTAGAAATGTAAATAAACATTGCTTCGTGTGTCTCTATCCAAACAAACTGTTTGTCAGGAATCACAGTCCAATCAAGTGGCTTAGAAGAATAAAACTACTAATTTGTTCAATATCGTGACTCAAAACATGGATTCGAGAAAATTTTTCTCTCGCCATTCATCTATTTCGCGGGCTGTGGCAGATTTTTTCAAGCACTAATTATAACCTTATGTATCGATTTGATTGTACTCAAAGAACGTCACATATGGGAAACATACAATGAAAAGACAAATCATGTAGTAGCATATTTTTCTAATGGCTAAATCTGAGCACTATTCAGAAGTGAACTCCTTAAACTTTCAGCATAGACTCATTAGTTTAAATAGGCTTCGTTTTAACATTTTTAAAGACCAATTTCTAGAACTTCTTTAGAGAAATATGCACTTGACCGAAGATTCTATGTTATTGCTAAAAAACAACTTAGTTATCGAGACAATCATGCCTTGACCGTTTCAAAATAATTTCTTATCAAATTTTTACTAGTAATAATTGCATCATCGGAATTTTCGATGATAAATTTCGCATAAACAGACATACTAAAATAATTGAGATATGAAGAATACCAAGTATAGATAGTGTTTTGATTTGTAACTGTGATATGTATTACGCCATGAAAGACTAGTTCATATTTGCGATTAGATTTGATGGAGGTCTACTTTCGACTGAAAGTTGAACGGGAAATATTCATATCAGGATAGTTTTGTTTTAACCGTTGTACTTTATCCCCCTACTGTGTTTAGAAAAGTTTTACATAGCTAAGTTATTATTTGCTTTTTTAGTGTCCTCACAATCAGATTGTTTTCAATACTCGATATTCATATTCTGAATATGTTTTGTTCAAACGAATGCGATAATCGCAGCCGCTGAGAAGGTCATAAACGGTGCTGTCTACTGTCGTTTCATACAATTGGTGGCCGTAAAGAGCTGTAAATTGACGTTTGGTAAACGTGATATTACGACTGTATGTCATCATGCCTTATACAATTGGTAAAGGTCTGATAATCAAGTATCCGATGGTTTACAATACAGAAAAATATGATCATAATATTGCATCTATGACACGACCGTGCTTATTTGACCTGAATATTTTTCAGTTGATATCTATTAGTGATTATTCACAGTTGGATCATGTCATTCAAAAAATGTTTTTGAACAGCAATTATGCATTTTGTTTCATTATCTCTGATTTGCTCTACGTTGTGGTTTTTCATAGAAAAATTCTTAGTTTTGGTGGCGTAATCAGACAAAAGTTGTAAAAAGACTCACACACCCTAACTTTGTCTACAGAAGAGGTGAAGATCCTTTGGTAATGCTTCTAGAAGAAGCTGAAGTTCTTTTTCCAGTGGAACTCAATCGTTGATGAAGCAGTAAGAGGATTGAGACATCTGTAGTTACACTATTACTTCTAAGTGTCTGCCCATTTTGAAACAAACATGCAATTCAATCATTCATCATCAATACTAGAATATTCAGCGTTATTAATAGACAGTTTTCTTTATTGCACATATCGTCATATGGCTGCAAGTTTTGGCGGCGTACAAAAATTCGCACCCACTGGTTCCTATATTTTGCGTTCTTGGACGGTATGGTAGAGCAAAAACAGGAAAAAATACATCAACACAAATAGAAAAACGGGTAAGTATATATTTGGGATATTCTGAACACTCATGTTGTCATTCAATCGAAAGATTTGCCTTAAATTCACTTCATATCTATAAGTCAATACTAAAAATCAACTGTGTCTTTGTGTTTTATTGCCACATCAGGCACAATTTTAACAAAGCAGGTAAAAAGGAACATTTGGAGAAAAAAAAAGTTAAAACAGATAAAGTATAAGGTTTGTTGTTTTATCATTCATATTGAATTCGATATTTTCTGTTTTGTTAATGTAATCTTTTCTTTTCGGCTTTTACATGAAAAATGAAGAGACGACATAAGTAAAATAACACAAAAAAAAAAAAAAAAAGAGTTAATAAAGACATAAGAAGTAATAATAATAATAATAATAATAGCACAAATGTTTTCTTTTGTGTAAACGGTGATCAAAATACAAAAAAGAAATGAGAGAGCGAGAGTGAGAGAACGTTGGATTAAGAATGTCTATATTTATTTATTTATTTATTTATTTATTTCATGAGTATTTTTTAATTTGATATAGTTATTCTATTTAGATTTGGTTTTTTCACTTATAATTGCAGCCAAATCAAGATCCGATTTGCATGTTGCTTGTAAATGATTACGAATACCTTGAAGAGCATTTTTTAAAGCATCTTTGCTTGATGCACATAACATTTTACGTTTAATTGTTGCTGTATCTGGTGCCCTAAATATAACAATATTTAATAAATAAATAAATAAATATAAATAATTAATTAGTTGATAAATTTCTTTTTTTTACCATGAAATAAAATATATTTCGGCACGTGATCCTTCACTTGTTTCATAGAAAATATCAATTATAGCATATCGTACATCATTTTCTGGTAATTCTTCAAGCATTTCAGCCCATTTTTTATCTAAAAAAAATTAGAATGTTAAGAAAAAAATAATTTTATATAGGATTTTTTATTTTTTACTCTTGTCAGCTGGTGGTGCATTGTTTGGTGCTGAATTAGCACCTTCTTTGAGAACAACAATTTTTGATATATCATTACTAAATCCAAGTACAAGATAGCCAATCTGTTTTTTTATTTTAAACTCATGAAATTTTTCAATAACTGCATTATCCACTTTAACGCCAGATGCCTATTAAAATATAGAGCATATTTTTATATTAAAAAAAACCACAATATATACATATTTATTTATTTTATTTTCCTAACTAAAAAGGTATTTGAAAATTTCACTTCATTCAAAACTATCTAAGATTCTTTTTAAAATCACCCACCATATGATGCTAAAATGTTTCTTAGTTTAAAAAGAGTTCTGTTTTTAATTCAACAAAATCTTACACGTGTTTCTTACCATTATAGTCTATGTAGTTCGTATATCTATGTTTAGTTCGAGAGAGAAAAAGCAGAATAAGCAATATGGAACTGTACAATTGATGATAGTGCGCTATTTTAGACCATCTCTATATGCTTTTCTTCTCCTCTTTTTCTCTTCTTCTTCTTCTTCTGTATGATATATAGTAAAAACAATTCCATACAGTTCGTTGATGCTGCGTTATTTTGCACTCATGATTCATGAAAGAAGAAGGATACGAAAGAGCATTTTCCTTGTCTCATTTTTCCCGTTCTAGCTAGCATAAGACAACTATAATTATCATCCGTCATCAATAACGGGCGTATTTCATATAGAGACACGCTGTATATATTCATCCGTGGGTGATTTTTTTTCTCCCTTTCGCTCTTGTTTAGACAGACGCATACATACAGAGCGAGAAGTTGCGAGAAAATAGAGAGAAAATGATAGGGTCACTTACCGATCCAGACATGATGTATACAGTGTTGATTGTTAAGAGTAAATGTTGATATTGGTAAAAAATGGAAAACAACGATGGACGTTTGTTCACAACAATCGAAAATAAATAAACAAAATATCAATTAAATTTGAACAACAATTATGAAAGAAAAAAATAATAATATAATCTAATTGTTCTCTTATATTAAAACTATGAGATAAATCATAGACATATAATAGAAAAACGAAAACATTTTTGAAAAGATTATGCTTATTATTGATTATTGATCATATTCTATTTTCTTATATATTAAAACGGATCGTGCCTATGCAGACGGAAAGTTGATTCGGCCATTTAAATGACCAAATAAGGAAAGAACGTGAATCAGACGAGAGAAAAAAGAACGAATAAAACAATAAAAAACATATGTTTTTAACAATTGATCATATTCAATGATTAGATTTGTTTTTTTCACTAAATAAGGTAATTTCAAGTAAGACACATTTCAAAAATAGGATGAAAATTATATTTCGTAATAATCATATTGAAACTACAGGATAAATGTTCTCTGTTACTGTTTATTAATTGGTCTGAAGTTAGCCAGTCATATGTTGATTAGTCATTGAGATGTTTAAATCTTTTTCTTCTTCCTTCCTTTCTTTCTTCGTTTCTTCCTTTTTGTTTGTTAAACAAACATGATGATTAATAATTATTGTTCCAAAAATATTCATTACAAGAAAATACACTTGCATTTGTTGCTAAGGCCTCTCTCTCGCCCTAAAAAGCAAATCGATCTTACACCAAGTATATTCAAATTGCATGAAAATTTCATAATATGTTGGAACTAGAGTGGAGAGCTATAGTAAAATTTTCAGCCTTGTAACATGATGTTTTTGGAATATAATCAATAAAAAAAAAACGAGTCAAAAATAGGTCATTTCGCAACTCAAAATGACTTTTTTGTTCTTGCATTCTTCCATGCATTTCAATAACTGACATGTATAAACATTTTTGAAGGAGGCAGGGGCTTAACATGAAAACAATTCGTAATTACTATCCACTGTGATGGGTTTATTTTTTTTTTGATTTACAATACATTGTTCTATTTGAAATAAAAAATTTCACATAATCATAGCTTATATCGAACTGATGATATATTTTGTAGAACAAATGTAAAATTTCTTTTGATAAAGCTAAAATGTATTAAATTCTATCGATAGATAAATCCGCGGGTTCCAGGGAACTTTTCTTTCGAGTATGAAAACTAAAATTTTTTAGTAGTTGATTTTTCATCGCTAATATAGCCGCAATGTGTCATCTATAAAATGCCGTATAAATAAGGATTCTTCCTTGTTATTTAGTACATTTATTAAATCCAACTTTCAAAATCTGTAAAAGAAAACTCACGGTATGATTTTTCTATTCTACGCAAAACTTTCCAAATGATCATGATTATTTCTCATTCCGAAGTTGCTGAAAGAATTGGTCATGAACCTCTGTACACCATTGAATGCGACTAGTTTTTCATTTTTCTCGAAACCAGTTTTTATGCAAAAAAAAGTACAGAAAAAGTATGCATTTTTTGGGTTACGTCCTGTATTTTGATCTTTCTATTCGAATGAAAGAAGATAAAAAGAAATCGAAAAAATTAGAAACTCCAAACAGTGTCTATTATATGTAAAAATAGGTTTCAGTCCTATGAGATGTGTTACAACTGAGAAAGCAGGATGATTAGAGAAGCAATTTTTTGTCTTTCTGATCACAATTTATCCTAGAAGGAAACATTTGGAAATTTTGAGTCTAAGATAAAATTTACTCTACTCATAGAGATCTGTGTAAACTGAAATTTTCAATTTCATTTGATAAGCTGTTCTCCAGAAATCTCGTTAGTCTCTTATAACAAGACGAACTAACGAAAGATTTTATTCTACACGAGCGTGATACGTAATTCATTTTTGTATCTATTTTATCAATTTTTGAATTTAAATGTAAATTTATTTCCATTATATTTAATGATAGAAATAATTGAAAGAAAAATATCATAAGTTTTACTCGTTGTTTTGCTATATATGATTACTGCTGAATATTTCACAGTTCTACTATTTATTGTTTTCTTCAATCAAAAACATGATGCATAAAAGTCAATCCTTGAAATTTTCTTAGGCATTCATTTGATTTGTTGCATATACAGTCAATAAAAATGTCATCTTATTTATTATATTGAAAAGAGAAAGAAAAGAAAAAAAATTAATATTCTTCACTACAGGTAGTCTTATTACTTTTTTTTCTGAAATAAAACAAAATATACGCTAACGATCAATGTATCAACATCGAACAATGTGTAATGGTGTATGTGCACCTTATCCTACTCTTCCTTATTATCATCATCATCATCATCATCATGGAGTTAATGTAGGTTCACCATATGAAATAATGGATCAATTACCTGTTCCTGTTGTGAATAATTTTGCTCCACCATATTATGATGATTATTTGTATAGACGAAATGTTCCGTATATTGATCATTCATGTTATGATTATGTTCCACGACCACCAGTTATTCAAACGAATGTTCATAATGACGTGTGTTATTATCTTGATGATCCTGATGATGAATATGATGATGATTATGGAAATTCTTATAGATTATCTCGATCTAAAGTTCAACTTGTTGATTTAGTTCCAAAAAATAAACCTCGAAGACATAACAATCGTATGGTTGTATCAACATTTCAGCCAGTAGAAAGAAATTCACCAGAACGTATTATTATACCTCGTTCAACTGTTGTAAGAAATACTACAAATCCTGCATATCAAAGACAAAGACATATGAGATTAATGCCATTATATCATTCAGCTGAACCACACTATAGAATACCAAATCGACGTCGATCAGTTGTTAGAGAAATGGTTCCGGTTGCAACAGTATCAGATTCATATCCGCATAGACAATCGATTAGAGTACGCACATTATCACCGTTGTGAGAATTAGAGAAGAAAAACAGATTCTTTTAATTTAATATGCATTTTTTGTGGAATTATACATATATTATTTTTGTCTTTAAAAATAATCAATATAATGAATGAATCGTAGAGATTGGTACTAATTTTAGTACGAGACTTAAAGATACTCGATTAAAAATTGAATTAGTTGAAAAAACAAGCAGATCGGCAATTGCTGGTATTCTTGACTTATTCAACTTTTTACTGAATATCTTTAAGCCTCGCACCGGTATTAGTAATATTTTCTCTAGGATTAACTCTCTCGATCTCTAAATATTTTCAAAGTAAGAATGATAAATCTTTAATATTAATAAACGAAAGAACTGATTGCTACTTTTAAACACAATAGTATTTTAGCATAGTAGTACAGTTCAAAGTATTATTGATGATGTTGAAACATTCTTCTATACTTTATTGGTAAGAAAAACTGGCTATGAAATAATTCATTCTGATTTACATCAAATTAGAATGAATTAATATATTCTATTTATTGAAATAATGTGAATTTATATTCACATAAACTATAAATTTGAAAACCACGATATATATTCAGTGAGCTCAATAAACACATATAATTTTGTATAGAGATTATGAAGATAAATAAACAAATCAAATGAAATCAGTAAAGTAACGAATGAGCCATAGTAAACAGTGGCCTTTTGCAAGCTATCATTTCATCACCGAATAAATTTTTATTACAAATCAAACTTCTCATTAGAATGTGTTTATGCTGTTAGTCAACAGGAAGCAAAATGGATGAAAAGACATAAATTAAAAGACTATGTATCCAAAACGAATTATGTCGTGAGTAGCAGTTTTTTTATCTAGATTTTCTCTTTTGAAGGGGCGATTAACGATTTCAGAAGGGCTAATCCAAAGTTTTGAAGGGATACCATCACCTCAGTGTCTACCCTGAATTAAACATTGATGATTATGTGCCTCTAAAAATGGTCTCATGTCTTCAATTGTATTCAAATTTGATGAAACTTATGTAACTCAAACCGAACAAAACTCGCCGGCGATTATGCGAACAAACGTGCAATATGGAGGCATTAATACATGAAAATTCTATTGATATTGTTTCTTGATAAGCTCAATCTAAAGGTAAAAGATTACTAGTTGACAATTCCATCTATCAATAAAATAACACAATGCTTTATACACATCAGAAAACATTGATATGTTGCATAAAGTGTTTCGTAGATAGATATAGACGATCAACAAATAATTCTGATCTCAACGTTTTCAATTATTATATACACGATGCCATCGCCAATAAAACACAATAAGATAAAGTTAAAAACTATGATTCTTTAATCGTCAAAATAACAAAAGAAATTCATTGAGTATCAACAAATAATCATGTTCAAAATATCGAAGATTGACGGAACAGAATTTAGTCTGTTTTAAAAATGAAAGATACATATATATAAAATTAAATCGTTTTTGTAAATTGTAGAACTTTTTTCGATACATCTTATAGTATATTTTATTTTTTAATAAAATATATTAAGTAATTGAAAAGATATGATACAAAAGTTGATCATTGATTATGGTCCATTATGTTCATTAGCTTGCGTCATCTGTTGTTGTCAAGAATTTGTCGATTGGTTTTGATCAATTATCAATAAAGTTTTTACTTCAAATTGATGAATGAATATTTAGTGAATTCGTTTTCGACAATTGAATTGAATTAACAAATTGTATCTTTATGAATATGTTTTTTTTTAGATGAGTAATTTTATAAAATCAATTCAACCAATACTTAATGAAATAGTTTATGATTTAACTGAATTAACTGTAAGATATTTCCAGCAAAAGAAAAAAAAACTCAATTTAATTTGATATTTTCAATTAATTTATTTAGCTTACTGATAGATTTAATCCATATAAAAAATTATTTGAAGATTCAATTATACATCGTTCAAATATTAATGTTGAAAAAAGTACAGTTGAGAAAAATATTCAAGGGTATTTTATATTATTTTTTTTTTTCTATTTAATATTGTTTGTTTCTTATTATTATTTATTAGATTAAAAGAAAAATATATAATTCATGCACAAGATAAAAAAGCTGATCTACTTCAGTTTCTTGTTAAACGTTTTAATAATAAATCTGTATTAGATCATTCACCAGAAGTAAATTATTATTAAGAAATAAATTCAATATTTGATTTCTTTTTATAAGAGCGAATTTCATCAAGCATGTTTACAATTAGTTATTTCATTAGCTCAAAAACCACTAGAAGTTAATCTTGATAATTTCTCACATCTTGTACAAGAACAAATCGGTAAGTTTCAAAGGATTTTTAATTCTCTAACAAATACATAACAAAATGATCTTCACAAATCGAGATTCTTCTCTCATCTACATGATCTTGCTAAATGGACAAAAAAAAAGTGGATAACATTTTCACTAGCAAGCGAACTATTCTCATTAAGTATTTTATTTGTATCAAATTTAAACTCAAAACTTGAAAATCGATTTTGAAAGAGATTTGAGTGAGATTCGCGTCATTTTGTTAAAAAACTCTCTAAATATTCAAAATTAAAGAATAAAAGACTCATGGTGACACATTCTTTAATCTCAACACATTGTACCTAATAGAATAAGACTAATCACAAAAACAATTCTACGCTAATGGGGCGAAGACTGCAAAACCAAACCAAAATACACTTTTTTTTATTACTCATCATGACCGATCGTATCGCGACAACCTCAAACGAAAAGCGATTGAACAATTGGGAATGATCTTTCGTTAAGTTAAATTAACTATCAGTTTCCTTTATGATTTATGTGACATCTAGAACACATCAATGTGAAAGATGTTCGATTTCATCATAAAATTTTTATTTGTATTATATATATAGAAGAAGCAAATTTTGACTGGCCTACATATTTACTTGGTAATAAAGATGAACAAGCGATAGTTTCAACTAATTGGAATGAAGTAAACATTTTAATAAAATTTCAAAAATAAACAATTTTCTTTTTGATTTTGTTCAGGATGATAGTATAGATGATAACGATGATGATGATAAAGTTGATTCAACATTTATTCAAAATGATGATAGTGAAGAAATTCAAATTGAATCAAAACCTATTGATGATATCGAACAACAAAATTAGTAATAAAAAACTATTTTATTTCTAAAATTTTCAAAGAAAAACTTAAATTTGATTGAAATAGTTCAGTGCTTGATCGTGAGATTATTCCATCATATTGGTATCGAACATTATCCGATAATGTTTCACCAGCTCTTCGTGATTTTGCTCTTTTCTGGTAATCTATTAATATGAAATATATTTCTATTATATATATTTATATATCCTATTCTAGGGATCAAACTATGATTAAAACAACTCATTTAGCTTATCGAGTTAATTCACAAACATTAACTGAATATATTCTTATTCGAGAAACTCTTTGGTAAAATAAATAACAGGATTCCACACGATAAGATAAGAAATCTATTACGTCCTATAAGTTTCTTTAAATAAATATACAGCATGAAAGATTTGATGTCTTTTGGTGTAGTAGGTTGAATTTTTATGAATGATTAGTCACTGATATGGCACATCGGTTTATGTATTCGAAATCCATTTAGGCTTAACGAACGTTTTCTGTCCATAAATATTTTTACTAATGAATACTGCAGTTAGATACGCCTTTCTTCGCTCTACCAAACACATATAAATACTTGATAAGTTTACTTTCTCTATTGCAAAATATATGTGCATGAATGTAGGGTATTTGGAGAAGTCTGAAAATTAATCAAATGTCGAATTTTTCTTATTTATTGAATAAACTATTCTCTTCTTAGTTAGTTTCGTTGATTTGTACGAAAAACAATGCTCAAAATAAAATTTCAATATTAAAGCCGAGTCTAATGATACATGTTTCGGGGGAACATTTTGACACTAAATACTGACAGGAACAAAGATATCTCTTTTTTATGAAAAAACTTTTTTGTCGAAATATATATTTCAAGCATTGTCTTTCGTATAAAAAGTGGGAAGTTAAGTGAGAAGGAAGTGTTTTTGTTTGATAAATATGAAGAATTCCACATATGGGTAAATTTCGAACACTTTTCTTAATAGATAAATTTTGTTGCAGAAAAAAAAACGATCGTACTATTAAGAGTCATTTGAAGTAATTGTGTTTTCATTACATTCTAACCCATATATTTCGCAGAGTAGAAAGAAAACTTATCAAGTGTTTATATGCATTTTTCAGAGAAAGAAAGGCTCATCTAACCGCAGTATTCGATATCAAAAATATTTATTGACAGAAAGCGTTTATCAAAACCTAATTTTAAATATACATAAGCTGATGAGTCATATCAGCTACGTATCATTGATAGAAATGAAATCTATTATTCTAAAAAATTCAGAATCTCTCATACTATATATATTTAAAGGAACTTATAGCGGATGACAAATTTTCCATGTTATCGTTTGAGATTCTTTCTTTTTGATTTCTTATTTCCTATTTTTTGTTAGGCTTTTAATGAATTCTACACAATTGCATATTTATGTTATTGATGAAACTAATCAAGTACATGTCGCTGATTTTGTTCGTCTTTGTGATGTTACTCCAGTATGAAGAACAAATAAATATACCTCCTCTTTTCTTGAATAAACTAGTTTAATTTTTTTTTTAAAAGGTTACTATTCAAGATTGTTTAGAAAAATTTACTAAACTTTCTAATCAATTACGATTAGCAAATCAATTTTTAAAACAAATCAATCGTTCTTGTCGAACATTATCATCATTTTCACAAGCACTTCAAGATCAAATGACTGTAATTCAATATCAACTAGCTGATATCGAACGAAATTGTCTTAAACAGAGTTTGTTTTTTTTTGCGAGATATTTATTTCGTTTTTATTTACTTTCGTTTTTCTTTTCGTATAGATTGTACATATACAGTTTTATCATTTTATGAAGAATTAGATTCACTTGGAATAATTTCTAAAGGAATATGTATTGAACGTATATTTGATCAAATATCATTTTATAATAATAAACCAAATTATGACTTAACACTTGAACTTATACATATTTTATATAAAAATTTGCTTATATCAGAAATGATTAATAATTTAATATTTTTTGTAAGATTTTTTTTTCGATTATTTAAATATTTTATTTATATTTAAAAAAATTTCTTCTTTAGAATTTTTTATTACCACTTTTTATAGCAAGTTGTCGAATATATTTGGAAATAATTCAAAATTGGCTTGTCAATGGATTTATAGATGATCCTTTTGATGAATTTTTTATTAAACGGTAAAATATTATTTTGATATTTAAAACATATTTTCTATACCACTAAATAAAACATACAATTTATTTCGTTCATTTTAAATTCAATACACATCATAACAGAAAAATATTGTAAAATAATGATCAGCAGAGTTTGTAAGTTTTTTTTTCGTAAATAGGTTATGTACAAACATTCATAGAGCTATGTTGAAATATATATGAACCCAACATATACGATCGATATCAGTCAATATAACAAGGAAACATTTCCAGGTGTCAATTTACCTTCGACTCGACATTTTATGCATCATATATACCTGAATGAGCTTTGAATAATCCGAAAAGAGTTTGTACCCATAACTTATTGCTGCGAAAGTATTGCATTTTTATGATATTTTTTTTAGCGTTATACCGTCGTGCAAAACTTCGGAAAACTGAATTTTTGAATTTCGGCTTCTCATTTTGCATTAAGACCTCAACGAGAATAATTTGTTACGAAAGTTTCGCACCTTTTCGTTGCTTTTATCTTAAGAGACGGCGCTAGCAACAACATGTTTTATATAAACTATTCTCATTGATATCTTTGTGCAAAGTTCGAATCCGAAATTCAAAACTCAGTTTTCCTATTGTATCTTAAGATTATCATAACGTTGCACTAAAAAAGACAATAACTCTGCCACAATAAGCTAGGGGCACGAACTCTTGTCAGAATATTCATAGCTCATAGTGGCCTGTATGATACAAACAGTGTTAACTCAAACACGAATTGACACTTGTGAAGACTGTATTCTGTCGTTTCATATAGTTTACAATCATAAATAGCTGTAAATTTACGCTTAGTAGGCACAGTATTACAATCATATTCTATCGTACCATACAAAATATTTTGTAACCCAAGACGATCTTTAGAAATCACTTTATTACTCTTACACTGATAGATGAATAAAGAATAGCAGGCTTCATTAGAACTACAGTTATTTTCACTTTTTACGCATTATTTTTCTAAAAGAAGAGAACTCTTCCAGCATTCAGGTAATAAAAGCTCGTTCTTAGAAAAATATATTCATTTTTGTTGATTTTTTCCTGTATACTAAATGTTAATGTTTTATTTAGTTGACAGGAGAAAAAGTCAATAAAATATTAATAAAACTGTCTTAGACATGACAAAGAAATTTCTCTTACTGTAGATACATAATAAAAGATTTTGCTTTTCTATTAAGATATTTCATTTTTATATTTAAGAAAAGCAGAAATATCTGTTGAATCAATTGATTTTTGGCAATTATCGTATACTGAACAAGTAGAAAATGCATCGTAAGTTTGTCTAATTTATTTTTCTTAAGATTTATTTTATTTCAATAATACAGATTAATACCAAAATGGTTAGCCTCTATCGTTCCGTCATTGGTAAAAGCAGGCAAATGCGCTGAAATTCTCAAATCAAATGGTGTTTTAAAAAGTAAAAAAAAAAAACAATTAAAAATGTTTGATGTTTTCTTTTTTTTGTCATTAAGATAATGAAGAATCTCAATCATTTGTCGAAGAATTTTCTAAATATCTTGAAAAAAATTTTAACTTAAAAAAATTATCTTGGAATCATCTCAATATTTTACATAAATCAGAAACAACGAATACCGTTGAATCTTTATCAAATCCATCTATATTTCTTCAATTACCATTTGATGATATTGACAATAAAAAAAATTCATTTCTAGCATTAGCATTTAATCAAATGGAAATATCAAAAACAAATTTACTTGAAACAAATCGGTAAAATATAGAATGGCCTAAATGTTGGTTAATCGAAAAAAAAATTAAATATCACTGCCAAAGTTTAATCGAATAGGTTGCTTCTTTTACCGATAACAATGAAGTATTCATAGTTTATATACATAGAAATGCAGTTCTTTTGATTGTGACAAGGTTTCAGGTCAAAAAAATTGAAATTAAGATTTTATTGAAAAAAAAACGGAATTCTACAAGGAAAATTCATTATAAACTCAACATTTTAGTGAAAACTCTACAAAGGAACGAATTTTTTGGTCGCTACGGTAATCAGATGGCCTGCTACTATTTGACGAAACATGGGTTTAAACTGTTAACCAACAGGAGGCATCAGGGGATCGCAAGTCTACTTTCTTGTGGACCCAAAAATTTTTTCACGAATATCTCACTTCCTAATGAACTAGCAAAAGAATCAAGATTTTAGCTATTTATTGACTATTCTCAGAGAAAAGCCAATGTACAATTACTTTTTGTTGTTGGACTTTCCTATATTTTTCAGTCATCGAGAATGACTGCATTTCTATGTCCAAGTCAGTAATAATACGTCAAAACTATTTTTTTCAATATTTTCCTTCAAGATATGAACTATGATCATTCCTTTATCATCGGTAAAAAAATCAGCCTATTCAGTTATACAATAGTGGAAGTATTCCATTTTTTCTTCGATTAAATGACTTATAGGTGAATCTGTATATTTAAATTGATTCTATCTTGTTTTTCTTTTAAAGTACTCAATTATCACGTTCATCGGATATTAATCAATTAATAAATATTGAAAGTATTCTTCAAAATTTTAGTCAACAAATTTTACTTATGAAATGTAATCAATTAATTGATGGATTAACAAATGATATACTTAATCGTTTGAAATATTTAAAACATATTGAATATATAAGAGATTTTTTTCTTTTTGAAAATGGTTCATTTATGCATCAATTTGCTTTACGTCTTTATTCAANTTCGTTGCTCGTCACAATTAATCTACGTAATTCGACATAAATCGGCTTAGGTCTATACATGCTCAGACCGAAAAACATTTGAAATTTCAATGTGAGAGGCCAAACTGCCGATAAAAATATTAAGCATCGCATACAGTTTTTCAGAAGCAGATAATGGAAATATCGAGCAGTGATCGCTCGGTTACAGAGTACGTAATCAGAAAAAAGTTCTTGAGGTTACAGCATTACGCATCTCCCCAAAGCGTTTTGCTCAGATAGCACAATAATTCTCAAGGGTGAGCTATATGTATGTGTTGAGTGCAGCAGGTATAGTTACCAATAAAAACACTCTTAATCATGCATGTTTCTTTTCCTTGTTATCATTCAAATAATTATCATGAATATGATTGATTAGAAGTATTCATATTGTTACCGTTTGTTTTTCCTTTTTAATCGCAGCATGTGCACACATCACGTGCTTGGAAATCCGCCAATCTATTTCAATTCGACGTCGTAAAAAAATTTGTTTTTAATCAAAACATACACTTCTAGAAGAAAATTTTTATCTTGTTTCACAGAATTCCCAATAAGAAATGTTCTAAATTAGTTTTCGAAAGACATTTGGCTGTCACTTCAAACGCTCAAGTAATCGAAAGAATCAATCATCGTTAAGAAGTGATATGTTGATGCCTTGTGCTTAACACTCTCCAGCAGTCTTTATAATGTGTCCATCCCTTTATATCGTTTGTCCAGAGATAGTAACTAACCACCTATATGTACATAGATATTTAACTACAGTATATCTAATATTTACAAATGGTATTCCATCAGAAACTGAACATTTGTTCGATTTACCTGATCAATAGCCTGCCTATTGTGGCAATGCAAATACCGGTAAATTATAATTCTCAACATCAGTTGTGATACAACATTCTGGCTGTTTGTAGGATTTAATATAGAACCCTCTCGTGAATTTGTGGTTACCCCTGATGGCCAAGACAATTTAAAATTAACTTTACAAACAATACCAGTTCATGCATCTGGTGATCAAGTTAAAGTTGAATTTAAAGTACAACCAAATTATTTCTACAATGGTACGCGATGTGCTGAATTTAGTACAGTTGTTTTTGATCGAGCAAATTGGCAAGTACCACAAAAATTAACATATCGTTTGTTGATTATGGTTGATGCCCATACGCAATTACTGCAATCGGTGGTGGATATGATTGGTATTATATAACACCAGGAATTGTTGTTTACGCCTGTGATGGAGAAGCCGGACATGCTTGTAAAGGCAAAAGAACATGTGGAATTTGAAAATATTGATGCACACGCCTGTACGCAACAAAAATAATTAAAGTTAAACCAAATAAAAGTATATTGTCGTTGACGGTCTTCACTTTGAGATAGATATTGAATTGCTCATCATAGAGCTGCATTCAAATATCGATGAACACTTGAATTCAGAGGATATAGAGTGTGAGACTTCTAGAATGATATGATGCACAAAGTCACCTTCACCCTTTTTCACTACTCAGATCATTCATATTGTCTACTACGTATAACGTAAATTATATGATCGTTTTAAGGTTCAACAATATACTTCAAGTTCTTTTGTATATCTGTCTTAGGAAGTATCAGAAAGAAACGAGCAAAAATGTGATCCGTTTGGCGCTGTCACATATTGCACAAACAAATATATTTCAGGTCGATGATTTCTGACTCACGTCAGTATTCCGTGAGTTTCCGGATCGATGTGAAGCTACCACGACAGCCACTTATACTTCACATAGAGCCGGTCAATTATAAGACGATCACAGAATACCCGTTCCAGTCCATGAAGTACCTATCCAAAAAATGCAAACAACAACCATCCTGAAGTATTTGACTTCTCCCAAATACCCACTATCCACAATAATTCTTTCCCATCTACAAAAACTCAGAAGTCAGCACCGAACGCTCGAACGACTGCCAGAGAGTTAGTTATGTTCCATGCCATAGAGAATTCAATTTTGTATCGAATGATGCTGAACCCCATCTGCTTATCCACGTTTTGCTTGGGGAAGTGGTCACTAGATTATGCTAATTGTTATCATCGAAGGTCGTGTTTTCTGAAAAATGTCGGTCGATCGAGGGAGGGATCATACGTTAGTGCTCGTACGTACATAGGTCTAACCAAAAGTTCTGAGAAGATTAAATAAAAATATAAAGATAAGGAGATATTTTCAATTTTATTTCATAAAATGTTCACAATAGTTATGATTATTTATAGCAAGTTCAATCCTTTGTAATAATTTATTAAAAGATATGTTGAGCTCTTTTTCGAAAATAATTTTAGTTAACTTGGAAACCGCATGAGAAAGGCGCGAGTGAGTGTGGGTGAGGGTGTGAATATTCCATTCAGCTACACCCGCAAATAAAATATGAACCATGCAAATCAATAAAACCACGGCTATGGAATTATTGCTTTTGCTAACAGTATAACAGAAGACTAATATGAGAATCTCGTCAAGTGAATGATTTCTCACAGTGAATCTAGTCTTTGTGCTTGATCTATTCATCAAACGAATGAAATTCGTTTTCATTCGATTTCACTGTAGTAAACAAAACTTCTGATTGCATCAAGTCGATTGCGCCTCACAATTTTTTTTAATAAAAACGCGCTCACATCAAATTCGACCTTATGTGCTGCTTTTTCAAAAACAAGCTCTATTTCAAATGAAAACAAAATACAATACACAAGATGCATGTTTGCGAGCGTTCGCTGTTTTGGAAAATACTTCCTGTATTTGAGATCTGATTTTCTAACTAATTCTATCAGATATTAGAACCAACTGTCAACAACTGAATACGAGTTTCATGAATTTGCTCGGTGTGATTCTACTTGTATATTTTAGCAAATGAGCGATGCACTGCTGTCATCAGGTTGCACATAATGCGCTACAATATAATTCCTGTCTCGTTCTATTCAAAGAAGTTAGATGACTGCAGACATTAGAAGCATTGACTTCCATAAACCAGAATCAATATAGTACTATTTCGTTTTACTCTTTCAAGCAAGAGGGTGTGGGTTTCAGTGCAAAGGACATTCACACACCCACGCCCTTAAAGTATATGATTCGTTTTCTTTCGAACATTCTGTCTGATGATAATTGTATCATTTTTTGCAATATGTCGCTTTTAGTCTCGTTATCTACATTTCTAATAATTCCTTTTTCGAAAAAGGATGAGAAAGTTCTGAGTATTTTAAGAAAAAAAAGCTTCTTCGTACTAGAAAAAAATTGCTAAAATTCTATTCCCTTTGGACTAGATTCTTGGATTCTGCTATGGATGCTGATGCATTTTTGGATTCTGAATTTTTGTTAAATTCCGTATTCAAGGTATGCAACTACATCGCCAAATTTATTACAAAGTAGGAGAAAAATGTTTTTTCATATCGTCTCAATGCAAGCGAACTGTTGCAAAGGACTTTTTCTACAATGGTTGATGCGTAATAGAAGAATGAGAGGCGTTTTCAACTCGATATATAAGAAGATTAGCTACTAGAACCTCATAATCCCTCAAAGAAAACAAAAGGTTCCTTTTTCTATTAGCTCGTTCTCTTCTATCCTTTATTATTATATCTTCATTCACATATTCATGAATAGAGCACAAGCTAAACTACACATGTATATATGCAGTCCATTTAACTGGTTTATTGTTTCAGATTTGTTCTACATATTCAAAAATGTCTTATTTTTGTGATAGTGACCGAACACGCATAATAATCTCTTGAAAGCGGAAAATAGTTTTTTCAAGAAAGAATTACGCTATTTTATAAGAATATATATTTATTAAATAATTATATCATACACAAGTATAGAACAGTATAGTTTACATACATAATATACAAGAAACTATTGATTGACTCTCTCTTGCATTTCAGTTAAAGAAGGAGAAATATAAGATTATATAGCTCTCTGTGGTATATCAGTATCACCAAAATGAGACATTTTTGTATATGTCGAAGAAATCTGGAACAATAAGCCAGTAAAATGGACTGCATATATACATGTGTAGTTTAAGTTGTGCTCTATTCAGAGACAAGTAAATGAACAAATAATAATAAAGGATAGAGGAGAACGAGCTAATAGAAAAAAGGAACTTCTTTTTTCTCTGAGAGAATATTATACAAGAATCTTCTTCTGAGCTCTGTTAACCAGAGCACACCTGAAAAGAGAGAAAATGTCTATTAGAGTAGTCTGGTTTCTGCTTAGTCAGGAGGAAAGAGATGATTAGTTTTGTAAATGGGATATAATAGTGTTCATCAGATACGATTCTCTAGTTATTTGTTGAAAGAGCTCTTTTCATACGATTTTGTAAAGAATTAAATTTTCAAATAGTAAAAATTGAGTGAGAAAAACACAGAATACGTAGAGATCTGTTACATGCTGGGAGAAAATTGGGTGATGAGTCAATAAGATCGTGCTTTTGTCTTTTAATATCATATCCATAAGACAGGGAAAAGAAAAATCATAATCCTTTCTGTCATACATAGCAAGATTTCATTTGTGACGACTAGCAGATCGCTGGGTCTGAATGGTACTTCTTATATGCATAATTCATTCAAGTGATCTCTCTGTCATTTTACACTTGTAAGAAGAACGATGAACATTTCTCGACCATCACCCGGAAGCGGTGGACCTCCTCGTCCGCCGGGAATGCCAACTTTAACAAATCTGGAAAGCAACGTTGCACTGTATGGCTATGCTCTCCTCTACATTCTCGGCATCTTTGGTCATACGAACAGTTTACTCATCTTTCTTCGACCCACTCTTCGTCACGTATCGACCAGCTGTCTATTCGTTGCACTCACAATCTCTGATTCCCTTTATCTTTTTATCAGTATCTATGATTTTGTTAATACGGGTTTTCGACAACCCGATACATCGCTAGACCCATCAGCTGTTTGTCGTTTTCGTACATTCGTTCAGTCAACATTCATGTGTTGTAGCGCATGGTTACTGGTGGCAATATCAGCTGATCGATGGGAACGCGTACGATTTCCATTCAAATCAAAACAAGTGTGCACACGAAGAAATGCACTCTTGGTAACAATAGGCATACTTATCTTTGCCGCTGGTTTAAATAGTTACTTCCTTCTACCTCAACTATTTGGACGACTGCCAGCAGGTATCATGACAGTATGCGGTGCCAGAATGGTGAATCCTACATATTTTCAATTTTTCCGTCGAATATGGCCTATTCTCTTTTCGTGTGTTCAAACTCTTGCTCCTGTTATTTGTCTACTCATCTTTTCTCTTGATACCTTTCAACGTTTGACTCGACAATCTGCCGTACGAAACGAGACACGCGCGCGTCGTCGTACCTACCTCGACAAGCAATTTTTATTGATAATGCTCATCAGTATTGCATTGTTTGTGATCACGACTCTCCCTGTGGGCCTGTATAATATATTGCAGCCGACTGTACTTCCCTCACTAATGACACAGTGTTAGCGTTCTCGCTCACAAAGAGCGACGAACACAGTTAACGTGTGTGTGTGTGTTTTATTCTCTCCGTTTATTCTGTTAGAAAACAAACGTTTATATACGCACGCGAAAACAAACACAAGAAAATAGAGGNGAAAAAAAGTCATTAAACAATGGCAAAAAAAAACAATCGGATCAGATGAAATTTTAAATCGATAATCTATACAAATTGTTTTTGAGTCGATTCTATTATCTCACTCAACATGATTTATATTTTCCCAATGCATTTCAATCGAAGTTTAATGACTTTCATTGGCTCACACTATAGGTTTCATGTTTCATTTGTCTCATATGACAGAAAGAAATTGTATTTCTCTAGGGAACCTTTTACTCAGTGCAATTTTCACAGAACTATCGAATTAACTAGGGTGTGGGTGTGGGTTTCAGTGCAAAGGACATTCACACACCCACACCCTTAAAGTATATGATTCGTTTTCTTTCGAGCATTCTGTCTGATAATAATTGTATCATTTTTGCAATATGTCGCTTTTTGTCCCGTTACCTACATTTTTAATAATTCCTTTTCGAAAAAGGATGAGAAAGTTCTGAATATTTTAAGAAAAAAAAAAGCTTCTTCGTACTAGAAAAAAATTGCTGAAATTCTATTCTCTTTGGACTAGATTCTTGGATTCTGCAATGGACGCTGATGTATTTTTGGATTCTGAATTTTTGTTGAATTTCGTATTCAAGGTATGCAACTACATCGCCA